TGGCGGCGCCGGGGGGCGCTGACCCGGCCTCAGCCCCGGCAGCGCCCGCGGCTGCACTGCAGGGTAGAGCCGGGGGGAGGTCACCTTTTGCCCGAGGCGGTCACGGGGAGGGGCTCCGCAGCGTTGCCAGGTCTTAAATAGGAAATTATCGCATTGGAAGCTCAAGATTATCCTGTTTGCTGAAAAAATATTGAAGTACTCTTTTTCTTATTTACTTTGTGCTCGCTGTAAGTCGCCAATGAGGGAGTCAGAACTGGCTCATCAAATTTGAAGCACTTTTCTATTGTGAGGCAAGCCATGGTAAGAAAGGGCTGACAGCAAGGCCAGAAGTCAGTTAATTCTCCCAGAGAATGACTTGGGTTTTGCACCTGTTGCCTTAAAAATGATCGTACAGTTTTGAACATCTTTACTGTTATTGATCATATGTTGTTCAAGGGTTGGAATTATTGTACAAATACAATAGTTATCGTACACCTGGCAACACTGGGTCCCGGGGGGAAAGGGCACTCCCCCACTCCACCCAGGTATCCAGGGAGTGACCATGGAAACATGGCCTGCTGCTTGCGGGCTTTCTTCATGGATGCGTCCTGGGTTTAGGGACAATCCTAGCAAATGTGCATGGACAGGCACTAGTTCTAGTCTTGGGGGCTTTCCTTGGAGACTAGCAAGGGCAAGGTTTGGGCTTACCAGCTTTCCTAGCAGACAATAGGGACATGCACTAGTTCTAGTTGTGGGGGCTCTCCTAGTAGGTGTGTCTGGACATACACCATTTCTTTCAAATGATTTTTATATTGGAGTTTTCATTTTTCCCTACTTCTTTCAGACTGTTGTGGTCGTTGCTTATCCCCGGGTTGTTTCTCAGCGGAGCCCTGTGCCTCTGTTTAGTCGTGTTGCTGTGGGGAGTGCGGCTGTGGCTGCAGCACAGGAAAGATCAGTCAGCCTCTACAGGGAAGGATGGGAAGCGTCAGCTGGTGGTTGCCTTTTTTCATCCGTATTGCAATGCAGGCGGTGGAGGGGAGAGAGTGCTGTGGTGTGCCCTAAGGACGCTGCAGAAAAAGTGAGTGCACACCCAATCAAAGTACACATCATTACTTTGCAGCTTAGTGCTTGAATGTTGCTGTGTAACTCCTTATGGCAGTGATTCTGAACCAGGGTGCTGCAGAGCCCTGGGGTGCCTTGAGCAAACATAGCCTACAAGATAAACCCAGAGACTTCAAATAGAAATTCATAGTGTAAAAAGCTTGGTGACCTGTTGTAGTCTTTCTGAGATCTTTGCAACAAAAGAATTGCTGTATTAGGTTTTTTTGACTACAGAAAAATAAGAGCTGGCATTTTCTGAGGGGTGCCTCAAATCTAAAATGGTTGAACCACTGCTATGGCATTTCATGTACTTAAGGTGGCACCATCTAATCCAAACACTTGCTTCTCATTGTAAAAGACATCCTACCCAGTATTAATCTAAACTGAGTGGGACATCCCCTGGTCTGTCCTACAGTCTTCCTCTTACATACTTGTGATTTGCCTTTGAAAGACTTTGTAGTATAGTTCTGGGGTCCTACATTTCTTTTCAACAGGAATGTTGTACCTTACAAATTGACTTGCATAGAGTAACACTGAAATCCATTTAATTCAAATAAAAACAACCACTCTGCATTTTCTGCATATCAGAAAGAACCTTAATTGGTTCAGTTAAACTAAAACTATACATTTTTTAAGAGGACTAACATATCTAAGATTCAGGTTAAAAGTATGCTTTAAATATATTCAAAATTACCCAAAGAATACAAGTTTCACAGTGACGTAAGACACTTCTATAGAAAAATGTGTGAAATTCTTTATTTTACTGTTTCAGATACAAAGATGCAACTTATGTTGTTTATACTGGTGACAAAGAGGTCACTGAAGAAGAAATTGTTAATGGTGCTTTCAGAAGATTCTGCATCAGATTAACTCATCCTGTGAAGTTTGTATTTCTAGAAAAACGCTATCTTGTGGAAGCTTCTCTTTACCCACATTTCACTTTGCTGGGTCAGAGTTTAGGATCCATGTTCCTTGGCTGGGAAGCTCTACTAAAATGTGTTCCTGACATTTACATTGACTCAATGGGCTATGCCTTTACATTTCCTCTATTTAAGTACTTAGGAGGCTGTCATGTGGGGTGTTATGTGCATTATCCCACTATCAGCACTGACATGCTTTCTGTAGTTAGGAACCAGAATACCAGCTACAACAATACCGCCTTCATTACAAAGAATCCTTTTCTCAGCAAACTTAAACTTGCCTATTACTACTTTTTTGCTTTCCTGTATGGATGGTTTGGTTCTTGCAGTGATGTTGTTATGGTTAATTCTTCATGGACCCTAAATCACATCCTTTCCTTTTGGAAATCTGGGGCTTACACTAGTATTGTGTATCCACCTTGTGATGTCCAGACATTCCTGGATATTCCATTAGACAAGGAAAAGAGCACAGCAGGACATTCCATTGTGTCTGTGGGCCAGTTTAGACCTGAAAAAGACCATCCCTTGCAAATCAGAGCCTTTGCAAAGTTGTTGGAAAAGAAAACTCTGGGGCAACAGCCTTTGCTGAAACTCATGCTGATTGGGGGCTGTCGTAACCAGGAAGACGAGCAGCGTGTGAATGGACTTCAAAAGCTTTGTGAAGAGCTAGGTGTCAATAGAAATGTGGAGTTCAAAGTCAATATTCCATTTGAGGAGTTAAAGCAGTACCTGGCAGATGCAACGATTGGTCTGCACACCATGTGGAATGAGCACTTCGGGATTGGTGAGTACTTGAAGCAGTCTGGCCCAGTGATCAGAATAGGATTAGGATCTCGCTTTGGGTTTCAAATCTGGTGCTGGTAGGGACTTGATGAGTAAGTTTACAGCAATTATAACTTGCTTAGTTTCCCCAACTGTACAGTGGTCAGTCTCATCTATAAGGGGTGATAAATGCAAGACAATTGCATTCTAATGGATGGATTGTTCACTTGGCTTTGGCTTCCATAAGCTAATATTGATGTCAGGGTAAATAAAGTTCACTAAATTGTCACTGAAATATAAACAAAATGTATTCTGACCTGACTGCCTGACACATGCTCTTTAACTAATGGAGGAAAATTTGTGTAAAACTTAACTTCATTCTATCTTGCCAATTTTTTCTTTCTTAAAACAAAATGCTGATTTGGTGACCAAAGCCTTTCTTTGGTATCTGTTTCACTGAACTGCTTATCTAAATATTTGGTTTTTTAAATTGGGTTTTGAGTAAAAATGGCTCTTCCTTCAAAATTTGCCTGTTTCCTTTAAAAAAAATTCCTCTTGGGTTGAATGTAACACTTTGACCCAAGATTTATTTTTCCATAACTGCCTAGCTACAGCAACCCTATTGCAAATTTTAAAAAATAGTTATTGGCAATACTATAAATAAAAGTATAATCTTCCTTATGTTTCTTTATGATAGGACTTTTATAAAAAAAACCCTATATGCACTTTGTACAAATCAGACTAATATATTAATTATAACTTATTCAGCTCGAATGAATTCATTCCAGCTTGTCCAGTAACCTTGGAATTCTAGGTTCTCATTTTCAAGTTTCATGAAAGATAGAATTAACTTTTAAACCTTAAAAAAAATCTCAACTCCAGTTTTTCTTTTATAATGTCACCTGCTGTGTCAAACTTGAGTTTCAACTCAACACATCAAGTATCAGATGCTAACTCTAGCTGAATAGTCTGTTAAGTCTCTCCTCTACAGTTTTAAATGTTTGTATTCAGTAGACCTATTTCCCCTCAAGTTTAAATGAAAACAACTAATTTTGTCAGTTCTAGAAAATCTTCCAGAGTTTAGAAGAAAAAACCAACAACAGTGAAAACAAAAAACCTTGGCAGTTTAAAAACAAAGGAAAAATGGCATATCAGATAAACGTTTACTTTTGGTTTCATTCTAAATTCTTGCCCATCCAATCAACAGTTGTCAAAAACTGACAATTTTAGCTTAGTTTTTTTATCAAGAGTCTTTTTCCCCCCAACAGAAAATGGAAATACTTAATTGAAACAAATTTTATATGACAAGTTCTGTTTTTTTTTTTTTTATCTTAAAAACATTTCCAATGAAAACCATCTCCATCCATACTTCTAGAGTATATAAGGACAACATTAATAATGACACATTCTGTATCTTTCCAGGAATAGTTGAATGTATGGCAGCTGGAACAGTTATCCTGGCTCACGATTCTGGTGGTCCCAAACTAGATATCGTGGTACCCTATGAAGGAAATATTACAGGATTTCTGGCAGACAACGAGGACACTTATGCAGAGACCATGGCTCTCATCTTGTCTTTGTCTCCTGAAAAGAGTCTGGAAATAAGAAAAAATGCTCGTCATTCTGTAAGCAGATTTTCTGATCAAGAATTTGAAATTACATTCCTATCATCTGTGGAGCAATTATTTAAATAAATTGTATGTGTATGTATATAAAAAAGTATTCTATATATGACTTTATCAACTAATAATATTTTTCTAAATTAGGGCTAGCCAGCTGGCAGCCTGCGGGCCACAAGTGGCCTGTGAAAGGTTATACTGCACCCCCTGGGCTTTCACCTAGCCACTGCTCACCCCAGAGGCACAGCAAGTTCTTTCTGCACCTGGTGCAGCTGCTGTCTAGGGACAGGCAGCAAGACGGGCTCCTAGGGATGGGCTCTTGGTGCCGCATTTGCACTAGGGAGGACATTTTCTTCAAAGGGGGCAAGTGATGTTCCAAAAAGCATGGCAGACTACTCTGCTCTAAACAAAGTCTTTATTGTGCCACCTTAGTTCCCTCTGTCCTTTGTTGGATTAGTCCAGTGGTCACCAACCAGTGGATCTCGATCCACCGGTAGATCTCGGAGCCTCTTGTGGTAGATCTCCACAGCCTCTCGGAGTCCATTTGAGGCTGGGGTGGGGGGCCGAGTGCCCGTGTGCATGCACGGCACCTGCTGACCAGCCCAGCAGGTCAGTCTGTGGAGGAGGGAAGGGGCGGGAGCTAGATCGAGGCCCCTGCAGTAAGGGACAATGCTGCAGAAGCAGGAGCAGGGGTAAGTTGAGTGGGGCCCCAGCTGGGTGGGACTTACCTGCTGGGGAGGCACGCATCCGAATAATTTTTTATCCCTCTGCCTTGATCTGCCCTTCCCCCAGACTTACCTGCTAGGTGTGGGAAGGGGGGCAGCACACAGTAGATCTTGGGTTGCTTTTAAATGCCAAAGGTGAACTACTTATAAATGTTAGCGACAACTGGAATAGTCTGTCCTCTCTGGAACTGTTCCTTTCTCTCTCCAATCCACCCTCTGTCAGCTGCCCTCACAACAAAACAGTTACAAAGCTAGTATTAACTAGGTCAGGGGTGGGCAAAATGCGGCCCGCAGGTCAGATGCAGCCTGCCAGGTCATTCTATCCGGCCAGCGGGGCCCCTAAAAAATTTAGAAAATTAATATTTATCTGCCCCTGGCTGCCTGTCATGTGGCCCTCGATGGCTTGCCAAAACTCCATAAGCGGCCCTCCACCTGAAATAATTGCCCATCCTTGAACTAGGTACTTCCAGGCCAGAACTGCCATCGGATGAAAAGGGCATCTAGATGTCCTGCTTGTGAAACTATTTACAGTAACTCTTTACATCAACTTATGTTCACACTTAGCCCCCCCCAAAGTGTTTCATACTAGAACTGCAGGCTAGATCTTAGCCTATGTAGCCTCCTTCATCACAGGGGGGCCTGCCAGCCCTTGCAGTTGGGGGTGGGGGGGAGCCTGCATAAAAATGCAATGGGAGCGGAGAGGGGGCTTCCTTGGGGCCCCATAGTTTACACTAGTGCAGCTCTGGTGTGTGGTTTATGCAGCCCCTGCCAACTGAGAAGTTAGACACCCCTGTTCTTATTACACCATGATGCTATAAATTAAGAGATTTTATCCTTCTTTTGGTCCATCAGATGTATGCATTAGAGAACTTCAGTAGGGGAGGGAGGTAATTCCAATTTTGTGAAAATTAACAGACTTTTTTACCTGAGGACTGCCTGGCATACAGTATGCTACCAACCTTTCAAATTCGTAATATTTTATTGCGAGCAGTAGAGCTGTATGCCTAAACTTGTCTCTTGTAAATCATTCAGTATTTTGAAGACAACTTTGCATTAAGTTACAGCAAACCTAGATTATCTGTTATGGCACCCCTTATCATTGGATCCTGTTTTCAAAGATGAATGCTGTCTTGTAGTGATTTGATTTCTTTCTTTGATAACATCTAAACAGGGAATGTTCCCATGCTTCAACTGTTTATTTGATATCTATGGGCTGGATGGCAACACATTATTCTCTACTTTCCAATGATGGCTGTCTCTTGTAAGGCAAGATGTATGCTCGCTTTCTGGTATCAAAACCTTAATTTTCTAATGAATGGCAGAATCATCTTTGACACAAAAAGAAACACTGTCATAGATATATTTTCTATATTGACTTATTGGTATGGTACAATTATTTACTCTTACGTTGCAAAGGATTGTAATTTGATCTATGTCGGGGTCTCTCACATACATTTTCTAATGCAAGGTTTCTCAGGAAACTGTTATATAGGTTTAAATGGGAAGTATTTTGTTCTTAGTACTCACTATAGGATCAACTTACAGTGCTTTAAACAAAAGGTAGGAATTACTGTAGCTGTCCTTTGTATTAACTATTTCTTCCTCTCCCTGGCAGTATAAACAGTTCACTGTCTTCTTCCTGTCCCCTACTGAAGTTTTCAGGAAAGTTCAAATCTTCAGCTGAAAGAGCATGTTTAAATAGGGAACAGACTTGAACTTGTCTACTGTAAAATATTTGCTAATACTACACTGAAACTAGTTAATTTACTAATTAAAATACTGTAATAACAAATTTCATTTTTTAATGTTAAAGATAGTAACAAAGACCCAGGCTCTTATGACTTCATATAAGCTTTCCCCTTATATTTTAACAGAGAAACTGTTGGAGAAGGGCAAAAAACCAATGAAGTCAATTTGGTGGTGGCGTGGTGCTTTTTATTCTGGGCTTCTAAGTATTATATCCAAACAAAAAAGGAGAAAAATTAAAAAAAAAAAAAAAAAAAGCCCTTACGTCTGCAGGAAATCATTCATTTGTGCTTTGTCCTGTTATGTGTTTCATTCCTGCATATTTTTTTATAATTAAAAATTCATATACATTAGTAGAGGTGCACCGATACATTGGTCCCATATCGAATCGGCACCAACATAAGGAAAATTGACTGTATTGGCAATCGGCTTTTTTTGCCTGACGTAGCTGATAAATGCTGCATGTGTGCCTGCAGCTGCACCACAGCACAGCACACAGGCAGCCAGGAGCATAGCCAGAAGAGCAGCCAGGTCCAGTTGGTAAGCGTGTTGTGGAGGAAGGGGCGTGGGGAGAACAGATAGAGGCCCCTTTGCCCTGCACACAAATCTAGGGGCACACGCCCCCCCATGGTGTGTGCAGCAGCAGGGGCCATCCCTCCCACCCCACGCCCCCTGGACAAGCCACTTGCAGCTTCATCCTATGCCCCACACTGGCTGGGTAGCCCCTGCCCCAGCCCTACTCCCTCCCTCACCACCAAGACCTATCTGCCATCCCCACGTCCCTTCCCTCCCCTTCCCTTTCCCTGCAACAGACTTACCGGCTGGACCCGGCTGCTCTCAACACTGCCCAGCTGCATATCGACAATTGGATTGGTATTGGCCAATATGGCTCGTTAAAAATCGGCCATTGGTATCGGCCTAAAAATCTCTATCAGTGCACCCCTACACTTTAGTCATAGTAAATCTACATGGACTGAGAGCAGGGCATGTCAAAATATAAATTTCTGCCTAGATAAGGACTTAAGGGCATGAGTTGCAATCTATATTGGATGAGCATGATAAGCAGGGATCCTGGTTTTCTCTGATTTTTTTTTAAATCCCCAATTTTCAGATTTAAAAAAGTAACCTAAATCCACATTTTTTCATGATTAAAATAAAGCGCCACTTACATAAATATTCCATTTTGATCAAAGAAAAATATGGATTTGGAGTTACTTTTTTTTTAATCTGAAAATTGGGGTGGGGAGGAGGATTTATCAGCAAAAACCAGGATTCCTGATGATGACTCAGAAACCTCTCAACAGATGGGTTTTAAGATAAGGAAATAGGAGTGTCCTAACAAGGACGCTATTCTTTCATGAAAGTTCAAAAGAAGGCGGTACATATTCAGAAATGTACTAGAAGGCTTGGCAGAGATGCCAGAGAGGCAACCTAGAAGAGCTAAGCAGGAATTGCCTATCAGTCTAGGCCAAGATTTTAAAAGAATGAGTTGAGTTTCTTGAACAAATGGCCCGACTTTTTCAAAAGTGCAGAACACCTCCTAGATTTCATTTGCTTCCAATGGGTGTTCAGCAGTTGTTGAGTAGACAACTTATTTGGGAGTTTAACATTAGGCACTTGTTGAAATCTTGGTACCTGTAATGCCCAGTAACTTAACTGAAGTCCTGAAGCAGCAATTACCCATCTGTTTTAGCTGATTCCTGCCTTGTCTCCATCTTCTTTGTTGTATACAGTAGCAGTAGATGGATCAGGGTAATTGTCTAAAACCTCATCAGAGCTTCCAGGTGTTTCACTTGCTAGGCTTTCTTTTTCTTCTGGTTTGTCTTCATTTGTTGAATGTACTGGAACTTCTTTAACTTCCTCTGCTGGTGAAGTTACTACTTTTTCCAGGGATTCCACCAGCTCTTCCCTTAATTCATCCTCTGATTCTTCAAAGTTACTACATTTATAGGAACAGAGACACCAATATCAGTTACCTGTATCCTTGCTGCATGCTGTTCTAGTTTCTGAGGCCACGTGGTTTTCATTTAAATTGTTTTGTGAGAAGGATAAAAGCTGGGTCTGAGATTTAAGTGTTTCCCTGTCTTTGTGCCATTGTTAGATTAAGCCCCACTACTCTTACTTGTAAAGCATTGGGGCTGCTTACAGATGTAGGAAAAAAAAACTCCAGTGTTTTACCTGCAGCTCAGTGTACCTCCACACAGAGTGCAGCACATGCCCAGAAGAGGCATCATATTAGTTTGACCTGGATCACTCAACATCTGTATATATCACACACTTAAGTGGGGCTTTTTTGCATTTCTGTCTAATAGATAATTGAATCAGCTTTAGATCTATACAGATACTGGGGAGACGGGTCAACTAACATGCTGCCTCTTTTAGTAAAATGCTAGGGGAAGGGGGGTTCATGTCTGTCAATGCCCTGGGAGTCAATCAGCCTGTATTATATCACTTTTGTATCAGTATTTTTGTTTACTAATAGTGTAAAAGACAGCAGGAGTGGCAGGTTTTCACGAATAAATTTAACTAGAGAATTAAAAAGCAATATTGATAAGTTTAAAAATACAGGGTGCTAGCTAAGAAGAGTCTCTGTTTACTTTCATGTTATAAGGGACAAGGGCAAAAGCTGCCTGTGAGACAGATTCTCATAAAAGAAGGAAACTACATTTGATACAATTATTTTCTATGCTGGAATAACATGACTGAAGGCACCTTATCAATGTCACTAACTTACGTGTCATCATCATCTGATCTTGGCTGCAGTCTGTCTTCGTCAACATCAATAGAAGAGCCTGTTTCTGAGTCATCTTCCTTATCCTCTTTTGGCAACCAAGATGTTAATGGTCTTTCTAGAGAGGGAGGAGAAACTGTACCTTTATATGTAGGTGAATTATAGCCAGTACAGAAAATCTTGAAAATAATTTCTTTAAAACATAATGTACTTCATTGATTGCCACTGCTCTTGTTCACAGAAAAATTTAAATATCAGTGGGCACATCTACACATGAGCTTTAACGTGCAGTAGGCTATTTTAATGCGCATTAAAGCGTCACAAAAATGGTGCTCTTTAGCTATAGCACATCAAAATAAATTAATGCACATTTTTCTAGTACCTCACAATGGAGGTACTAGCTTTAATGAGCATTATCAAAAGCACGTTAATTGAATGTGTAGACATGCCCAGTAACTCACTATGTATATTCTTCTTTACCAAACTATGTTTGAAAGTAGAAGGGAACAGAAATCTGAAAGCTAAGTGGATACTGAAATATGAAAAAGCTGCTTGCTCTAGTGTTATTTAGAGCAGGGGTTGTCAACTGGGGGTACTCATACCCCTAGGGGTATTTGGAAAGGTGACGGGGTACATGCAGGCAGATGGGGATAGAGCGGGAGGGTGGGGGCGCGAGGGCAGCAGTGCCCATCCGCAAACAGATGTGGGGCGGGAGCGCTCACACGTGGCAATTGCCACCCACCACCCCGCATTGCCACCTCCCAGGAGCAGGGCCGGGGGGGTGAGGGCAGCGGTATCCCTCTGCAGACCACAAAGGCGCTGCTCAGCCAGCAGCTCTGCAGGTTGCTGACAGGCAGTGCACAATTGGCCATGCACGAGGCCCATCAGCAGCCCACAGAGCCGCACATGCGACCAGCTGTGGGAAAGCAGGGCGCAGCAGTAGGTGGCAGTGGCAGCCGCCACATGCAAGGACCACCCTGCGTCCAGCTGCTACCAGAAGGGGTACATTTGTTAAAAAAAGGTTAAAAACCCCTGATTTAGAGACCTGACTCCAAATGATTTGATGGAAGTTAATCTGATCATTTGAGTAACTCACATGTAAGCAGGCTGGAAGAAAAAAGTTGTAAGTGTGTGCTCAAAATATTGTTTTAGCTGATTTAAATTGATAAATTGGGTATGGTTGTTATCCTATGAGCATTAGTTTCACGGCCTGCCTAGTTTCAGTAGTGAGGTCTTATACTTCTAAGACACTTAAACCAAACTATGGTGAGGGAGTCACATTCTGAACATGAGCCTGCAATGCAATGCGGCGGCTAGTAAAGCGACCAAAACGCTGGCTTGCCTCCATAGATGCTTCTCCAGCAAATCCCGGGACGTCATTCTCCCCCTGTCCTCGGCCTTAGTGAGGCCGCAGCTGGAGTACTGAGTCCAGTTTTGGGCTCCACCATTCAAAAAGGATGTGGAGAAGCTTGAGAGAGTCCAGAGAAGAGCCACGCGCATGATCAGAGGTCAGGGAAGCAGACCCTACGATGACAGGCTGAGAGCCCTGGGGCTCTTTAGTCTGAAAAAGCGCAGGCTCAGGGGTGATCTGATGGCCACCTCCAAGTTTATCAGGGGTGACCACCAGTATCTAGGGGAACGTTTGTTCACCAGAGCGCCCCAAGGGATGACGAGGGCGAATGGTCACAAACTACTTCAAGATCGTTTCAGGCTGGACATAAGGAAGAATTTCTTTACTGTCCGAGCCCCCAAGGTCTGGAACAGTCTGCCACCGGAGGTGGTTCAAGTGCCGTCATTGAACACCTTCAAGATGAAACTGGATGCTTATATCTTGCTGGGATCCTATGACCCCAGCTGACTTCCTGCCCTTGGGCAGGGGGCTGGACTCGATGATCTTCCGAGGTCCCTTCCAGCCCTAATGTCTATGAAATCTATGAAATCTTGTAGGACAGGGTTGCTCCAAAATAGCTTGACAGGCCAAGAATGAATATTCACATTAAAAGATGTACAATCAAAGTTCTTTGGTTATTTAACTGAATAAATTTTTCTTATAATCTATTTCAATTGCTGGGTTTTGACATTTACAGTTGTGCACACAAAACTTATTTATTTTCAATGCCCTAAAGTATTTTTACAAAAGCATTACTTTGAATAGGAGTTTGTATTTTAGTCACCCTTTAAAATGCATGTTGTCAAAATTTAGATATTTTTAAATGTAATGATTTTTTTAAGTAGTGCATCACAATGCTGCTATATGAATTATTAAGGGTTTAAATCTGATGTCAGAAATCTGTGATACAGCATGGTAGGGGCCTAAAGTCAGCTGTTGTTATGCTACAAAAAATATACAGCAATTTATATTAGCATATGGAAAAAACAGGTTTCTGTTTGTAATGTAGATCAAATTTTCTCAAAACTTTGGAAAATACTTTGATAAAACATCGATTGCCAGAGATCATTATTTTTAATACTAGTGGCTGCATTTCCCAGCTTGACCAGTCCTTATCCCATAATTAAGAAAATCTGCCAAGTATATCAAATCAATTCCTTTCCATTCAGCTATATTGGTTTTGTGAAGAGACAGTATTTCATCTGCCATTGAATGTTTTCACCTGGTGTCCTATCTAAAGTTTCATCTCTAAAATACTATTTATCTATTAAAAGTTGAAAGAAAGGAGGTCAATTATAATACACTGGTCAAAAAAAGGTTATCTGTGGCTGCAATTTAGCTAGCAATATATAGCAATAATTTAGCTAGATATATATGCCATCTCTAGCTTGAATGTTAGTACCAGGAAGACTGTGATTATGAGCTTTACTCCCATCTCAGTTGGCTCCAGCAGTTACAAAAATGGCAGCTAGAATCTTGATTGCATCAAGGAACAGTTCTATTCTATTTTTGTTGTGGTTGGCAGAGGGACTGAATGCATTGAAATCTTTCTATTGGTTTTCTGAGGTATCAAAGGCAACTGTGTGGCTGACTTCTTAAGCAAGGGGTCCACTTCCTTTCCTTTCCTTTCTTTTCTTGTGTCCTTGTTGTGACAAGGTACTTAGCAGATTCATTGGAATCTGTCAGAATTGTGCTGTGAGCACTTCTGTTTTGCCTAGAACTTGAGACCAATTGCAATTTGCTCAGCAAGAATATGAAGCCAACCATTTTAACTGTCCCTCCATTGCAAAGCTCCTCCACATTCTGCTTGCATGACCCTAAGTAACCATCAGAAACCTTAAATTTGAGGTCTTTTCTCATTGCCTTGCAGAAAACATAGGGCTCCAAGTGACCTGCTACATCCTCTAAAGGAAGTCGTAAGAGGAAGATTCATGTTCAAAGATGAGGTGGGAGATGTAGAACTATCATGGCTTCATGAACAGCCCAAGTCACCTTTTCACCTAGTTTCATAGTTGGTAGGGTCGGAAGGGACCCAAGCAGATCAAGTTCAATCCCCTGCCATGGCAGGAAAGAGTACTGGGGTCAAACGACCCCAGCAAGGTCTTCATCTAGCCTCCTCTTAAAGACCCCCAGGGTAGGAGCCAGCACCACTTCTCTTGGAAGTTGGTTCCAGATCCTAGCCGCCCTGACAGTGAAGTAGTGCCTCTTGATGTCTAGCCTGAATCTACCCTCTGCCAGCTTGCGGCCGTTATTTCTAGTCACTCCTAGCAGTGCTCGGGGGTACAGGGACTCCCCCAATGCTTGCTGGTCCCCTCTGACTAGTTTGTAAACAGCCAATAGATCCCCTCTCAGCCTTCTCTTGTGGAGGCTGAACAGGTTCAGGTCCCTTAACCTCTCCTCGTAGGGCCTGCCATGCTGACCTCTGATCATGTGAGTGGCCCTCCTCTGGACCCACTCCATGTTGTCCACCTCCCTCCTGAAGTGCATCACCCAGAACTGGACACAGTACTCCAACTGCGGCCTGACCAGTGTCGCATGGAGGGGGAGGATCACCTCCTTGGACCTGCTTGAGATGCACGACAAGGTACAGTTGGCCTTCCTGACCGCATCCCCACACTGTCGGCCCATGTTCATTTTGGCATCAATAACAACTCCAAGATCCGTTTCTGCCTCTGCACTGACGAGAAGGAAGTTCCCCAGCCTGTAGGTTTGCTGCTGGTTCTTCCTCCCCAGGTGCAGCACCTTGCACTTGTCAGTGTTGAAAACCCATCCTGTTCTCATCGGCCCACCCCTGTAACCTGTCTAGGTCCGATTGCAGCCTATTCCTCCCTTCTAGCGTGTCCACTTCCCCCCACATCTTAGTGTCGGCTGCAAATTTGAACAGGGTGCTTTTCACCCCCTCGTCCAAGTCACTGATGAAGATGTTGAACAGTGCAGGCCCGAGGACCGAGCCCTGGGGAACCCCACTGTCCACATCCCTCCAGGTCAAATAAGACCCGTCCACCACCACTCTCTGGGTGTGGCCCTCCAGGCAGTTAGTGACCCATTTGACTGTGTAGGTGTCGACGCTACAGTCCCCTAGTTTTTTAATGAGAATGAGGTGAGAGACAGTGTCGAAGGCCTTCCTAAAGTCCAGAAAGACTACATCCACTGCTACCCCTGCATCTAAGGATTCTGTGACGTAGACCTAGAATGAAAGACTTAATGAAATGTGGACAGATGTTAATCAACAAGCAGGAAGACTATGTAGATCCAGTGATCGGTGACAACAGGCTACAATGAAATATATTTCAACATGACACCAATTTTGGGGGGGGGTGTATTTTTGACTGCCTCTTGTATCATTGCAGCTGATTAAACGTTTGTGTTCAGTTCACAAGTCACCTGTCAGATGGATAATGTACCAAAGAAAAATTCTTTATGGATATGCTGAAAGTCTTATGCATATCATTATGACATAAATATACACTAATTATCATTCTTTTTTTTTTTTTAGAAAATTCTTAGGACAATTCCTCTAATTCACAAAGCAAACATTTACCAAATTCCCCTTCAGTCCGGATAAAGGAGTCCTCAGACAGCTCTGCTGCTGCTAATATATTCAGTAGAGTCCCTGGTGCTTCTTGATTCCATTGCTTCCTGCTTTCTGGGGTTTCTTCAGGCATGACAATAATCTGTCCAGCTTGAAATAGGAGATACTGAAGGTCATTGTATTCAGTAAGCCATGACTGATCTGGCATCATCATTCTGTCTGCCAGTCTCAACGCGTCTTTCATTTTTATATGGGAGTATATCATTTCCTTGGCTCTCAGTAACTTCAAGCCATTTTCCTTCTGAGATTTTTCCTTTTTAAGGATTGTTTGTTTCTCTGAAGTATTTGATCAGACTGATACTGTAAGGAATGCCTACTTTTCTGCTTTAGGGTTTTCATAAAGCTCTAATGAAGCAAGAGTGCATGCATGCCAAAGCCCTTGCCAGGAAAGTTGTGTAGCATGCGCATGGAGCAGTTTTACCTAGAGGTAGCAATGCCCAGTTTAGAAGCAGTGCTGTCCCCTCTGGACCCAAACCTGGCAGGTGGGAGGGGAGGGTGCAGTCAATCCTAGCAGCAGGAAGGGGCAGTGGTGGCCCACCAAGCCTCAATCCTGGCATGGGAAGGGGTGGCTCCAGGCCCCCAGAAACCAATCTGGGTGGGGAAGGACAGTGCTGGGACCTGATTCCAGCAGGAGGGGTGGTGCTGGGCACCCTGGACCCAATCCTGGTGATAGGTGGTAGCACTGAGCTGCCAGGAACCAATCCCAGCATGCAAGAAGTTGGAGGTGGCAGTTCCAGGCCCCTGGGACTGATCTGGCCTGCAGGGCCACTGCTCTAAACAACTACAGATTAACAGGCTCTAATGGAAATCTGGTACAAATTTGCCTTGGTTGAGGGAATGGTAGGTATGAGGTAAATCTTTTAAATGTGGAGCTTGGAGGTAAAGGAAGAGGAAAATTGTTAAGGCTATGATAGAAGCAGTCCTTCCAGGAAAACATGTAGACCTTTTTTTTTTTCAGCTGGGACTGATCTCAACAGCCAATGGTGCCCACAGAATTTTCACTCACAAGTAAGTACAAGCAACTGGAGCCCAGAACTTCATTCACCTAGAAACTGCTTTCAGTTGTGCCTGAACTAATGGGGGCACTGCAAAAATTCAAGCTCTTTTGAGCACATATTCAAAGGAGGAGGAGACAGCTTCTGGCCCCCTTTCCCAGCTTTGTACACGTATGTAGAGCAAGCCCCAATCTATTTCATGATTGCAGCATTAGTTAAATATTGATGAGAGATGTGAAATGCTTTTGGGTTTCTTTGTGAGAGGCACAAAATGCTTGACACGTTAGCATGAATGGAAGATTATTGCATCCTTTGATTTAAGATGTGATAACTGCCGTTATTCCAATCAAACATGTCAGATTCAAGGCACGTTGGGGAAACTCCCAAATCAAGCACCATCCTAAGTGCCCATAACCCACTGACAGAATTTAATTGGTGTTTGTATTCATGTAGTAAGCAATAAGAACAAGTTCATACCAAGTTCATCTCCATCCATGGTAGGGCAGACAGATGTGACATCGGCGTCAGCTAAAAAATTCAGAAGAGTCTGTGGGACTTCAGCTTGCCATTGTTTTCTGTTTTCCAGGAAATTATCTACCACATCAGCATCTAAGGGAAAATGTAGCACAGTGATTCTCAACTGGGGTTCTATGGCACACTGCGAGATCCCTTGACGGGTGCTGCAGCACCTAGCTAGTGTATAAGGACTAAAGCACTCACCTCCCTGCACCATTAGCTCCCCATCCCTGCTGCAGTGTGCTGCAAACCAGTGGTGTTTCTAGCTGCTCCTCTGAGAACTGCTCCTGCTACTGCCCTCCCCCAACCTGCAGCACATCTGCACTGCCAGCTGTCACATTCTGACCAGCATGCTCTGCTGCAGGCAGACCATGCTTTTCAGCTCAACTCATCTCAACCCCCCACTTTCCCCGAGTCACAGGGGCCACCCTTGCCCCCTCATGAACGGGCCTAGAGTGGGAAGTGGTGGCAGATGTTGGAAGGAGCAGGGCACAGCAAGGTGAGCTCTTACCCCACCACCCTCCTATGGCACCAGCTAGATCAGTTTTGTAACGTGTTTAGCCTCAAGGCTGCCCTTCATAACTTCTGAAGTCAAATGCTAGCTAGCTCAGTGAATCTCAACCAGCATCTTAGAAACATGGAGGGCTGCTTTGAAGTTAAGAAGGTTAGAACCATGGCTGTACCAGGTGCGGAGCTAGGACCCCCTGAGCTTGGTGGCCATGGGCAGTCAAGTTTACCTGTTGTGCACTCTGGCCTTTCTGCTACCTCCCCCTTTATCCCGGCTGCCATGCCTTTGATACAAAGTTTTATCACAATTTGGGAGGCTGTGCTCCATCACTGGAGTAACACCTAGGTGTTTATTTCCATTCCTCTCATCATAGGGCTGCCATTCTGGCCCAATACACATTTGTCCTAGCAAACCCCATCAACAGCCGCATGCTGGCCTCCCAGATCCACTCTCTCTTAAGGCCTAATCAGGACTCTCTGGCAGTCTTCCCCCTTTCAAGCCTTCAGCTGCCTCTCTTGGAAACTTAATCTGTAATGTGCTTAGCTCAGTCTTGGCTTTCCGCTCCTCTACAGTAAGTGTGGCTCAGACTGGCCTTTCCCCTGGGTATGCTTGCCTACCCACTGCTCTATACAGCAGATGTGCTTGCTCACACTCTGCCTATCCCAGGCAGGCTACCCCATCGCCAGGGATCCTGGTTTTCTCTGATAAAAAAATCCCCAATTTTCGGCTTAAAAAAAGTAACCCAAAATCCACATTTTCCATGATTAAAATAAAACACCACATCCGGTGCACCACCACCCCTCCCACTGCATCAGTGTGCCGGGGGCCAGGGAAGAGGGCCCCATGCAGGCTGCTTTGCCCCAGGCCGCGGAGGCTCGGCAAAACTGCCACAGTGGGTGCTTCCGGTTTCACTTTTACATTACAAACTGGCATGCTGGTTAATAGAGCCATGCCAGTTTGTAAGGTGTCGGATAACATCATTAGTAGTGTTTCATTTCATTAAAATTTCATTTCATTCAAATGAAACACCACTATATATAGATATCCATATAGATAGTGGTGTTTCATTTTGATCATGGAAAAATGTGGATTTGGGGTTACTTTTTTTAAACTAAAAAAATTGGGGATTTTTTTTTTAATCAGAGAAAACCAGGATCCCTGCCCATCAGTCATTGAGCACATCTACACGAGCTGTTTACTGACCAATTTCCTTCTCAGTATAGTCTTAGCAAATGCCCTGATGGAAGATATGTAGGAGAGACCAGACAACAACTGCGCACCAGAATGAATGCACACCGGAAATCTATCAAAGACAGAAACACCCAATTACCTGTGGGGGCACATTTCTCACAGGAGGGCCACTCTCTCTCCAATCTCTCAGTCCTGATCCTCAAGGGAAATTTACACAACACATCCCAGAGACGAGCCTATGAGCTCCATTTTATCAACCTGCTGGATACTAGAGATCAGGGACTAAACATAGACATTGGATTTTTGATACATTATAAGCTGCCTGGCAACTGACTCCCCAGCCCAGCCCAGCCCCTGGCTTCTTTACTTTTCATTCCATCCAGGAAGAGCACACACCAACTGCTGCAGCTTCCTGAGCCTGACGAAGGGTTTTTGAACCCAAAAGCTTGCTTAATAACTATTCTCCAACCATTTGGGTTGGTCTAATAAAAGATATCAAATTCACCCAAGGAACCTTGTCTGTCTTAGCATCTACACATTCAGCCCTATTAAGCCGCAATAAATGAATAAATGCAGCCATAGGGTAGTACTTGTCAACACAAGTACTATTCTACAGCAGTGTTATTTAGTGCACCACAACTCATGTGTAGACACTGATAGGGCTGGCTAGGGCATGTGTAAATGCAGCACCCAGGAGCAATAAATTCCTGCATGAACTGCTCTGGAATTTATTTGGTCAAATTAACTGCACATGTAGACACGCCTACTGAGTGCCCTCTGGAGCAGTTCTAGCTCTCTCCTTAAGTGTAATTGCCCAAGGTCCACTCTATTTCACACAGTGCACACAATGCCCTCTCTAGGTAGCTCTAGTGTCCATAACTCTTCAGTGCCCCTTTGCTAGGTACCCTGTGATTTTACAGAGCTAATTCTAATAGTATAAAAGCCTATGTCTGTCTGTCTGTAATGCTTTATTTGGCTGACAAATAGCCAATCAGAGTGTGAACAAGCATTCCAACAGGAGCTGGCAGCATGGTAGAGCGCCACCACGATGGCAAGGACACAGAAGATGGAGGGGATGGGGCCACTGGCCTTGACGCCCCCCCCGCCCTGCTCCCTGGAGGCAGGGGCAACAGAGCGGATGGAAGAGTGGAAGCACACCCCTTGCTTCTTGGAGGTGGTGGTGGTGGCATGGGGGGGAGCAGGGTCAGGGGGGGTGAGGTCACCAGCGATGGCCCCGGGCCCGCCCCTCCTCCCTTCTTTTGTCACCAGCTGCATGGCCTGGTGCGGGCACACCGCAGCGGCGGTGCAGGGAGGGGAGAGTGGGCTCAGGCCCCGTGCTAGGGAGGACTGGGCCTGAGGGTGGGGAGAAGCTGGGCCACAGTGGCGGGGAGAGCAGCGGGCCCAGGCCAAACCAGCAGGCCCGGCCTGATGTAGCACCATCTGGAGGAGGGGAGGAGCGAGCCTCCTTCCCCGCTTGGGCCCAGTCCCACTCCTTCCCCACCTCCCCTCCCTCGCATCAGCTCCAAGCCCGCTCCTCCCATTCCCCCCCACCGCCACCAAGTCGGCCTGGGCCCACTGCTCCCCCAGTCACAGCGGCCTGGCTTCTCCCCAGCCTTGGGCCCAGTCCATCCCCACATTGGTACTGGACCTACTCCTCCCCTTCCCCCACTGCCGCCACCGTCGGGGGGAGCAGGCCTGGCCTGATGTGGCCCAACACAGCAGCGACTGGAGGAGTTGAGGAGCAGGCCTCCTCCCCCACGTCGGGCCTAGGCCCAATGCTCCGCCATCCCCCCTCCCCCGCATCGGCCCCTCCCCCACTCCTCCTGTTCCCCTGCCACTGCCGATTTTGGCCCAGGCCTGCTGCTCCCCACCACCTGCTGCTGTGGCCTGGCTTCTCCCCACCTTTGGGCCCAGTCCTCCCCCACATTGGGCCTGGGCCTGCTCCTCCTCTCCCTCCACCTATGTGGCGGGAAGTGGGGGAATGGGCTCAGACCCCAAGCGGCAGGAGGGAAGGGGGGAGTGGGCCCAGATGTGGGGGGCAAGGGGGCTCCATCCCCACTCACTCCCCCACTCTGTCATTCTTGACAGGCATTTGGCTAGTATCACCATAAAACCCAGCACCCTGCCAGGCTCCCTAAGTGGCCTCCATGCTCTCTATAAGCCACTCCCATGCCTTGTGACAAATGCAAACAAAATCCCACCAACTTAATATAAACTGTAACCTGTGGGTACCTTAAGCTGCAGCGTTTTAGGTCATTCCCCAGGGAACTCTTTTCCCTTCCATGTCCAGGGCTCAAATGTGTCCCCAGCCCAGGAATGAAGCTCAAAGAGCTCTAGGCTCTGCTCCCTTCCCATCACAAGCATTTTTAATTCTCATACCAGGCACAGAGGTAGTCATCACCAGGGATCCTGGTTTTCCATGATAAAAAAAAAATCACAAATTCTCTGATAAAAATCCCCAAATCCATGGTTAAGATTAAATGCCCCCCACAGCCCTGCTTGTGCCACTTGCCCTCCACCCACTGCCCCTACCTCCCAGCCCTGCTGGAGGGGGCCCTTAGCTGCCATGGCTATGGGGCCAGGGACCCAGGTCCGCAGCCCCCTGCCCCCAGTGGAAGGCAGCGGCTGCTACAGCCGGAGCAGGAGCTGGCTCCTCCCCTGCTGCTTTCCTCTGCAGGCGGGGGCAGCAGTGAGGACCACAACCCTGCACTGCCCCCATGCACACAGAGGAAGCATGGCCAGGGCAGTGCGGAGCTTGCAGCGGCAGGCAGCTTTCATGCATAACCCTGCCGCACCAGTTGCACACGCTGCTCTCCGAAGGGCCTGGAGGAGGGCAGCAGGGTGGGGAGAGCAGCATTTGCGACCCAGGGTTTGCAGCTGGCTGGGCACTCCAGCCGGGGGATGGGGGGCTTGCAGTCTCCCCACTCCCGGCCAGAGTGCCTGGCCAGCTGTAAACCCCGCCTCCCGGCCAGAGAGTGCCCAAGCTGGCTGAGGAAGCTAGGGAGGCTGCAACCCCCCTCCCTCCGCTGGCTGCAAACCTCCCCTCTCCCTCAGCCCCTAGCCAGCTTCCCCGCTAGCCATGCCCTGCAACCCCCAAGCTCCACTTATCTCCAGCAAGAAGTGTGAGCCTGAAGTAGCTTTCGGTAAATGCAAGCATCAGGCCCCGCCCTTTCCCCTCTCCCTTCCCCTCCAGGCAGGGTTGACGGTTTCCCGCCCCTTTTGCAAACAGCTCTTGTAGGCTGGAACTCTGCCAGCCTGCAGAGCTCTTTGCAAACAGGGGAAATCCGCAGGGTTCTCTTCTTAAAGGGAAAATCCATGTTTTCTCTGATAAAAATAGGAAATTCGTGGTTTTCTCTGTTTTTCCATGGGAAACAGAAAACCCAGATCCCTGATCATCACTATCAGGATCCTGGAATTCTGCTACAACCCTGCAACTGCTCTCTCCAACTTTGCAGAACCTGCTCTTAGCTCTCCCCCAGTTGCTTATATCACCATATAAGTAACAGGGGTTACCTTGGGCCCTTGCTACACAAAGTAAAAAAAGATTAATAATAATTGAATTGCCTTCTAAATAGATTTTAGTGCAATTCTAATGTTAATTATGATGTATCAGAAATCAGAAGCAAGAACTTGTAAAACAGGATCCTATCAAATAAACTGGTTCAAGAAAGGGAGGAAAGTGGATCCGGCAAACTACAAGCCCATCAGCCTGAACTCTATCCTGGGCAAGGTCTTAGAAAAAATTATTAAAGAGGCCATTCTTAACAGACTGTCCAACGGTAACATCCTGAGGGCTAGCCAGCACAGGTTTGTTGCAGGTAGGTCTTGCTTGACCAATCTTATTTCCTTTTACGACCAGGTAACCTATCGCCTGGATAAGGGAGAGGAGATTCATGTCATATACCTTGACTTTAAAAAAGCCTTCAATCTGCCAAGATCATAGTATCCCATGATCACCTCTTGGCAAAACTGGCCAACTGCAGCCTTGGGTCCACCACAATCCACTGGCTGGGGAATTGGCTCCGTGGTCGGACCCAGAGAGCGATGGTTGACAGAAGTCAATCATCACGGTGCCCTGTGACCAGTGGGGTCCCCCAAGGCTCGTCCTTGGACCTATATTGTTCAACATCTTCATTAATGATGTGGACACTGGAGTCAGAAGCAGACTGACCAAGTTCACCAATGATACCAAACTCTGGGGTAAAGCATCCACACCTGAGGACAGGAGAGCGATCCAGGCTGACCTTGACAGCCTCAGGAAATGGGTGGACGAGAACCTGATGGTGTTTAACACCGTAAAATGCAAGGTTCTCCACCTTGGGAGGAAAAACCTGAAGCATCCTTATAGGCTCGGCAGTGCTACACTGCACTACGGATGAAAGGGACTTGGGAGATCATGGTTGACCACAAGATGAACATGAGCCTTCAATGTGAGGCTGCAGCTAGTAAATCGAGCAAAACGCTGGCTTGCATCCACAGATGCTTCTCAAGCAAATCCCGGGACATCATTCTCCCATTGTACTCGGCCTTGGTGAGGCTGCAACTGGAGTACTGCATCCAGTTTTGGGCTCCACAATTAAAAAATGATGCGGAGGAGCTTGAAAGAGTCCAGAGAAGAGCCACGCACATGATCAGAGGTCAGGAAAACAGATCTTAGCCTGGAAAAGTGCAGGCTTGAGGATGATCTGATGGCCACCTGTAAGTTTATCAGGGATGTTCACCAGGATCTGGAGGAACGATTGTTCACCAGAGCGCCCCAAGGGATGACAAGGTCGAATAGTTATAAACTCCTGCAAGACCATTTCAGGCTGGACATAAGGAAGAATTTCTTTACTGTCTGAGCCCTCAAGGTCTGAAATAGCCTGCCATCGGAGGTGGTTCAAGCACCTCTACTAAACACCTTCAAGAGAAATTTGGATGCTTATCTTGCTGGGATCCTATGACCCCAGCTGACTTCCCACCCCTTGGGCAGGGGGCTGGACTCGATGATCTTCCAAGGTCCCTTCCAGCCCTAATATCTATGAAATGGTAGCAGTCACTGACTGAACATAGTACAGGTTTCCCTCGCTTTATGCTGTACATGTGTTCCTAGAAAAAGGTGCATAACTCGAATTCGCAGAAAGGGAACCCACTTTACAATGTAATGAATAGGGATACATTCCCAGACCTTGACTGTACTGACCCCCAGGCCCATTTCTACCACTTTTACAAGACAAATTCAGTACTCACCTGCAGCAGACAGTACACACAAGCACAGGGTACTATCATAATGAGGATGGCAACGATAGAAACATGTGTCTCGGACAATGAGTAAGGAGCACAGATCCACACAGGAGACTGTATTTTGGTGTGCATCACTCATACAATGCACCTCACAACTGACTGCAGGCTTCCATCACATCGATTGCATAAGAATGAATTTACCTCGCATATACAAAAATTGGTATAAAAGGGTCATTGCATAAGAGTGAATTCGCACATACAGAACCCGCATAAAGCAAGGGAAACCTGTATGTTCAAATTAAGATATTCACTTGACCCAACCTTCACTATAAAATACCTGTTTCCTGACAACATAGTTCTTCCAAAGCTCTGTCTGTGTGATCTTCATACACATTCACCAGTTTCTCCTTAAGATTCTCACTGTCGTCAAAAGTTAGAGTCTCATTAAGTTTATCTGGTTCCTAAAACAAAATGGAATTTACTAAGAAACAGAACAACAACATTTAATCACTTCCATTTTTTTTCTCATTCAGAATGTAACAAATGTTACAGCAGGAGTTGCAGAACAAGCTTTGTTATTGGTTTTCATAAAGCTTTGCAGACATGTAAAAAGACTAGTTGGTGGATGGCTCCCTAATAAATAAAGAGAAATGTTTTGGACAGGAGTTTTCCTTTGAGATTTGAGGATTTTTAAAGTACAGATATCTGTAACCTCCTAAATTAATAGATATTGATCATAACTACATCTTGACTTTATGGCTATAAAAGTTCAGGTTTTAACAAATTAAAATCCTATGCTGTCTAAAGGATCATCTAATTTCTTCCAAACATAGTGCACCTGATTTATTCCTTTTTTGTGCTGGCGAGCTTTCATTGTAATAAAAATGGAGCCACTCAGGTAGAAAACTGGAGTAATGCAGTAATGAATTAATTGGGCCCATCTTTTAATTATTATTTTTCTTGAATTTATTTCATGAAAAGGATGAAGAATGATTATTGTCCTCCTCTACAGGCCAGCTCAACCCTCCACAAAAAAGGATATAACATTTTTTTGCATTCTGAGCATTTTTATACCAGAGTTTTAGAAAAAAAGTATCAAGTAGCTGAACTAGGGAACAGTAGGATGTCTTGTTCAAATTGCTTAACTCCTAGGTTGGTGAACATGAGCTGTCTGAACCACAAAATGTATGGTAGCTCTGGTAAAGACCCCACCAAAGCTATGTAAGATGGTCCTGAGTGCATCCCTAATTCTGCAAGGCTGTACAGGCTTCATTCTTTTACCAGGTCTAATGATTCTCTGTTCCAGTTAAGCTCACAAAGCCTGCAGGAGTCTGGGCCATGGCAGTGCATAGTGTGAAAATAAAATGAATTATGACAGACCAATCAGGAACAGTCCTGGAGCTTGTGCAGTTCACTTCTATAAATTCAGTCTAACTAGATGGGCTCTTGGTCCCACTGCTCCCCCTTGATTCTGCAGAAGTTATAATCTCTGAACATAACTGACACCCTGTGGGGGGGTCTCTCTCTACAGAGCTTATAAATATGAAAGGGACTGAGTTTGTAAACTGACAGGAATTTTTCTGAAAAGTTTTTATATAATTTTTTTCAGAAATGCAGTGCACTTTTGAAGTCCATGGAACAACCACAGATTCATATATATTGTAATAACTCCAGGAATAGCCATTAATATTTTCCACTAACTCTAAAACGTACCTTTATTAAAGTCATTTACAAGACAAATATGTAGTTTGTAAACAAATCCACTGTTTAGATATGTTCCTAAAAACTTTTACAGAAGTGATATAATTTCCACTTTCACTGTTTCTTATCTCATGGAAGCATCGTACATTACCATCAAACTTCTCACTAAGAATCTTACTCTGGTAAAAGATTATACAGTATCGGGTAGAATGGACTTATTCTAACAACAGAGGAAACGAGACAGGAATAGAAGCCTAACTACAACTTAAATCGTGGAGCTGCTATCATGTCTTCAGTCTACTGAAACAAAAGTATTTTAAAGTAACTACAACATACCTCTTCTTGCATGGTGTCTTCCTCAGGAACACATGCATCTAAATTAATTTCAAACTTTACTCCTCCCTAAGAAAAGAATATTCACAGACTCCATTAAAATACTTTATCAAAATATATGTACCTTAAAAGGGACTGCAAGTATGTGAACATAAACAAACTCTGGCTGCTTCCCTGTAGCAGCTGCTGCCTGTCACCAGAAATACTGACAGCAGAAGTAGCCTAGTATAGACAAGGCCTAAGAGCAGATGTTATCACTGTTCAGGACAGTGGTTTCCAAAGTTTCACCACACAAGGAACATTTCCAAGGTGCAACCCTGAGTAGCTGACCACATCAAAAAGGGGCTTGCAGACTGCATTTGGATCACGCTTCGGGAAACACTAGTTTAGGAGTATTCTCAACCTGTGGGTAAGTCTGTTCCTTTCCTTGATGACCCCAAAGAAACTCTTATCCAGTAATCCATAAAAGTAGCTTTGGTGTTCACTATCAAGCAACCTGCTTGTCAGAGCTATTGTGACATAATAAGATGGGGGTGGCCAAAACATGGCCCACAGGCCAGATTTGACCCTCCAAGTGATTTTATCTGGCCCACAATGGGTCCCTCAGCCCCATCTGGCCCAGACATGGGGGGCAGCCTGGGCTGTGGCATGTGTGGCTGGTCCTGCTTCCCCTGGGTGTAGCACAGCAGCTGGACTCCACTTCTTTCCAGCCACCACTGCCAGTGTTGCTGTCGCCACTGGACCCAGCCCCATTGCCCAGGCACCCCGGCCCATCCATCCTGCATCCACTGCCAGGGGCATTGGGTGGAGCGAGTGGGCAGGGTCTCTATGGAGACTGGCCTGAGCCCACATGGGCATGATGCGCTTGGCCAGGCAGATGGGATGGGGCCACGGATAGGCAGGGAGTGGCATCCAGGAGCAGGGCAGGTGGGTGGGGCTGAAGCTAGGGCCAGGGTCACAGAGCAGGATCACAGGGCAGTGATAGTGTGGGGCCAGAGCTAGGGCAGAGCCATGATCCACTACCCACATGTCCATATAATGGGCATCGGTTCTGCAGGAAGGGGCATGCTGGGAACAGACTGTGGCTCTGCCCCAGGACTTCACCCCGTGCTGTCAGTGTCCTGTGATCCCAGCCCCAGCCCTGCCCATCCCACTCCCAGATACTGCTCCCCACCTGCCCACAGCCCTATCCTATATGCCCAGCAGTGTGTGCCCTGTTCACCCAGACCCTGGGTCATCTCCATGGAGAGCCATTAAGGGAGTTTTTATGAGTTGTTGCGGGCCGGGGAGGCAGAGGGGTACTGATTCAGCCTGCAACAGCTCACCAACACTCCCTAAGTGGCCCTCCAGCCCAAATAATTGCCCACCCTTGTAATAGAACCATTTGAAGCAAACAGGGGAAAATGATCAAGGGAAAGAATGTTAGGGAATGACCTCAATTACCTTTGTTTTATGCTTCTTTTCCAGGACTCTTCTCTCTTGCCAGTTCTGTAGTCTGATTTGTTTCAAGTTCTGTTCAAGGTCCTTTATGAGAAAAAACAACACACTGTATACTAAATTCAAGAAGCATAAGTATACAACCACTCCTTAGAACCAGACTAGATATAACGTATCTATAAAATGTCTGGCTTATAGAGAAAATACGGTCATTAACTTCCTACAAGCACATCACTGTAGAAATATTCCACTCATTGCCTCACGAGTAATTAGAACTGAACAGCAAAGTAAGTGACAATGCTGGCTAACTTGGCAAAATGAATTAGGAGTCTTTCCAAAGAGTGCAAAAGGCTGATTTTTCAAACTGCCAAGCTTTAACAATATTTTGCTAGATTACTCACAACAAACCAAAAAAAAACCCCACTTGTCTCCAAGAGAATCACGTGCAACAGATTTCAGGGTGTTTACCTCCAATATTAGAAGATGATAAAAAATTGGAAGTTAGTAACCCTCTTAACTGTTGAACGACTAATCACTCCCCATAATAGCTTGTCTCTTGGAAGCACTTCACAGTTATTCAATTACACCTGGGTCAGGAACCAGGACATAGGTCTTTATTAGATAACTGCCAAACAAACAAAGAAAATGAAAACAATGCAATATTTTAAGGAGTCCCATGCATGAAGGCACATCATCATCTCCCTAATGAAAGGTCATTACAATTTAAACAGTTTAATATTTTTAAATATTAAAAGTGGGAACAATTTCTCAGGTGGATGGAGGATGTCCATGAACTCAACTGAGGTCAAGCACTGTGTTATCAGGCCTTTCCTATTAAATGTCATGAGAAAGTAAGTTTCCATGCTGTTTTAACCTTGCCTTCCACTAAACTGGCTGAGCCTATGATATTCCCATCCTGCAGTCTATCCAGTCAAGAGGTATGCAGGTCCCCTTCCTCCAGCTGTTTAGCACAGGTCCGATCTACATTCTGCTGAAGTCAATGGAATGTCTGCCACTGATACCAATAGGCACTCGATCAGGTCTCAGCTGCAATGTGGTTTCAGTATTTCAACATACATCATTGTCTCTAACGTAATGAGGAAACCTCTTAGAACAAAATCATGGCTTGGAATTGGATAGCCCCATGGGCTATATTTTGCCCACCCATGTCCTATTAGGTAACAACAGCTCTGACAAGCAGGTTGCTTGAGAGATAAAGAGAGAGCGAGAGCGAGAAAGATTGAGATTGATTTAAAAAAAGAGTTAGCCTGTATATCTTTTTGTGGGATGACTGCCAGCGCCTCCTCCCAGCTGGAGTGCCATAAGCCCCACAAAGGTGGAAGCTAACGCTCGCCTGAGTTAAATTATGCAAAATTATGTGCAGTTATGCATTTTATGCGCAAAACTACATGAGCGCATAATTGCGTAATTCCCTGGGGTGTAACATATACATTCATATACACACACACACACAAATAGATTGTTCAGAGAGCAAATCACCTAAAATTGGAGGCTTTGTATGACTGGAGCTGCACTTTGCAAGCTAAAGTGCTGCTAAACAAATTGACTTTAATTCTGTTTCACTCTGAACATTGTTTCAATGCATGGTTCTTTGCTGTGGTCCAAATCCTTTTCCCAACCCTCATCTCCAGCAAATAAGTTAGCTGCTGTAGAACACCACTGGCAAAAAGGATGAAACATCTTGTTCCCCACAGCACTGGAGCTGTGAAGTGAAAGGTTTGGGTCACTGGAGGGCGAATTCAGCAGAGACGGGGGGGACTTTGCCTCGCTGTGGAGCCAAGCCCACAATGCCACGCGCTGCCTTGGGAAACACATCGGCTGCACCTGGACCTGGACCAAGGAGAGCTGGAAGCTGGGAGTTTCCCTGCAACCAGCCCTGCATGCTGACCACGTCACCGTGATGCCCCACAAGTACGCTGGTGACCTGAGGACCAAACCCAACCAGGGCAAGGTCTTCGACGTCACCTTGAAGTGGGACTCCAGCAACCACTGCATGCCCAGTGGGAGCTTCACGCATTTCGCAGACTGGTGTTTCCTCCACCGCGCCCACCTCAAACTGCCTGCCTCTGAACAGGGCCATCCGCTTCGGCCACCGGGACAAGAGGTGCCAATGGTGCAGCTACGCGACAGAGACCCTCCCCCACATGCTGTGCAGCTGCAAGCCGCACATCAGAGCCTGGCAGCTCTGCCACAATGCTGTCCAGGACCGCCTGGTGAGGGCCATCCCGGCCGCAGCGGGGGAGATCTCCATGAACTGCACTGTCCCGGGCTGCGAGAGCCAGATACGACCTGACATCATCATCATGAACAAAGAGGCCAAGAAGGTCGTGATCATGGACATAACCATCCCCTTTGAGAACTGGCACCAAGCCTTCACTGACACCCGGGCTCACAAGCAGGAAGTATGCCCCGCTGGCTGACATCCTGAGGGGCCGTGGCTATGATGTGATGGTTGACATGCTCATCGGGGGAACGTTCAGAGCCTGGGACCCCAGTAACTAGAGCATCCTGCCTGCCTGCCGCGTCTCCCACCGCTACGCCAAGCTGATGCACTGCCTCATGTTGTCTGACACCATCCGTTGATCCCATGACATCTATGTGGAACACATCACGGGCCACCACCAGTACTCCAACTCCACCAAATGAACCGCCGCCGGACCAGACCCAGAGGGGACCGCCTGAACCCCACCTCTGCACCAGATGGACCTTCACTTCAAGAGGATTCTTCAGCAATGGACAATCCCGCTCCACCCGAAGAGGACCCCCACGATGAGACTCTACATGGACTGAGACACTTTCTTTGAACTACTTCCTCCACCATTGCGGACCATTGTAACGGGTTTGTATGTATCTATCTTCTTTCTCTCTCAGCGTTGCAAACCCCATCCCTCCCCCTTCCCCCACACCAGGCTTAGTTGGCTAACGTTGTATTTTCTGTAACCTAGTTGCGTTCCCCTCCTCACCCTCATCCCTCTAATGTTAGTCCCTTGCTTGGGCGATTTGTATTTCCCTACCAGCTTTGTCATCTTTTGTGGATTCACAATCCTAAACATGTACTAATAAAAGTCAATCTGTTGTGTTTAACCAGTAAACCAAGAAAATTAAACAGACTAAAGCAAAATCATGTCATAACAGAGATACATGAAGGACAACATCATAGGAACAAACCAGGACCAAACAAAGGGAGCCTTTGAAATAAATAGAGCACAGGGAGTTTCTCACCTATAGCACAAGCATCAATATCAGATCTAAGTTATTTACACATGCCTTATTCACTGTTCATCTTCACTGTTAGTACCTGGACTGGTTCTTCTCTTCTTGCTGGAGTCTCTTTGGAATCAGACTGGCTCCCAGCTTTACCTTCTTTCACAAGGTAGGTTTTGTCTTGTATTTTTTGATTCTCCTAATGGTTATGTTTGCAAAATAGTCATTTTAGTTACTGCATAAATTGAATGTTAATGTCAAATGATCATTTCTAGTACTTTGTCTGTGTCTGGGTTTTCTTACCTGTGGGGCTCCTGCTCTACACTGAAGTTCCTTTACATCATTGTGGTATTGTTGCCTAATTTTCTGCAACTGCTGAAGGTATTCCTGTTAAACAGCACCTCAATTAGAATATGAATTTCTGTTATTAGACAAAACAATTTTAATTACATGCAAATATATGCCTACTAATAAACAGACTGGTAGCCCCAGCTATTATTAAGATTATCTGATACTTTCCATTACAAGACCCTATTTTCAGTTGCTTATAACTTAGTTCAAGGCAGTCCAACTTCTGGGCAGCCAGAGGCAACATGCCACAGACCCAGGAGCCACACACTGTGGGTACCCCTCCTACTCCTCCACCATGTGGGCTGTCCAGCATTACCCCCACACAGTGCAAGCAGTCTGGCTTCAACCCCCTCCCAACCACCTGCACCGTGGGGATGGACCAATCCCACCCCATTGTGCACACAGCGCCACCCCATCTCCCAGCCATGTGTGCCATGTGGGCAGGCTCCCCACCTTCCCCCCAGTGCAAGCGGCCCAGCTTCCCATGCACAGCCACAAGGGAGAGGGCTGCTGCACACGCAGCAGGCAGACAGAGGGAGCTGGGCTGCCCAACACCCCCACCCCGGACTGCACAGAGCCCAGATCCCCCTTTCCCAGCAGTGTGCACCACACAGGCTGCCCCAGCACAGGCAGCAATGTGCCCCACTCCCTCCACCCACCTGTAGTGCAAACCATCTCCCTTCTTTGACAAGTATGCAGCTCTGGCACTCCAGCCTCCTCCCAGCTACCGCAACAGGCGCAAAAGGGAAGGGGAAATGATGGGCAGGTGGGAACCCACAGGTTGCATGCTACCCCTTCAGGGACCACATGTGGCCTGCAGACCACCAGTTGATCAGCCCTGCCTTAATCAAATTTTGGCTGAAATTTTCCACGCCAGATGTTTGCAGCAGAATGTTTACAAGGTTTTAGACAACATGTTCAGCCATATCCAAAAATACAGCTAGGGACTGGCTGGGCATTGGCTGTAGGACTACACCTGCTTTACAGGGACTGCTGCTGCTTTAACTGCAGTCACAGAGCCAAAGCCATGGAGAACCCTTGTGTAAAGAGTCCTTTGCTGACAGTTTTTCTGGTACCAGAGCCACACCAGCTTTCCCACATGGCAGAAACTCTGTTAGCAAGAGCTGCCGTCTACTGGCAAAGCTGCATTCATCTTTTCACATCTAGCCAACAGGGCTCTGCCACCAGAACTTTATAATGTAAAGGCTCAAGCTGGGATGGGAGAACCAAGGGTAGAAACAGGCTGGCTATTAGGCAGGAGCATGGTAACAGGGTAGAGACAGTAGGGTAACCCACATTAACATTTCAGAGTAAGGACTTGTAATCTGAAAAAGGAATAACCCTTGTGTGAGAGAGATACCCTTTGCTTTGATCATGGAAATCTATTTAAGTTTGGCTTCACAAAATCTAACTTTGCACCTGGACAGTTGACTTTGTGGAGTTTAACAGCTAAAGGCTCCAAAGCTTCTGAGCACAGGAAGCATGCCCCAGCCCTTCACAGGTCTTGTGCTGACCAGACTGCACACATGCCATTCCTATTAAGCGTGTTCCACATACAATGGGGTTACACAGGCAAAACAAGATTTTTTTCTGTAACTGCTACTCATAGCTAAATGAGGCTGGATATACTCCAGGATTAGAACTAAAAGCTGTGGGTCAGGTTCTACTATTGGACTCTCAATGGCTCCCCTGGCAGTGTGGAAGAGGAAGCACATGATTCAAAGGCAGGAGGAACAAGAACCAGACTTGGGAGAAAGAAAGAAATAAAGTATGACAAGGAATCTGGTTGACTGGGACTGGAGTTGGGGGAGGAAAGAAGTTGTGACTAGAGGTTGGGTGGAGACTCATCGTGGAAGACTGGAATTGACTGGACAAGGCAAATGACACTGAAAACTCTAGGGGCAGCTCTGACTGGTAGGGCAAGGAAGTGGAATAAGAGCCAAAAGAAACTAGGACTCAAAATCAAAGAGGGAAATACTGAGAATAGATGAGGACATGAGGGGTTGTGGGGAGACTTGGACAAGGAGCTGAAGAAGAAAAGAATGAGACTAAGATAGAAGAAAGAATTTAGGGGCTTGGACTGGGAGGTAATAGATTGGGAGAAACAGAGGCAGAGGACTAGAAACTGGAGAAAGGAGGAAAATTAGAGGTCTGATATCAGATCAGCACCAATATAAAGAAAATTGGCCTGATGCGGCCGATAATTTGCCTGATAAATGCCGTGCATACGCACAGCCGCAATGCAGCATGCAGGCCAGTGAGCTCTTCCACAAACTTGGCCAGTGAGCTCTTCACCCCCATGTCCAAATCACTGATAAAAATGTTGAAAAAGCACTGGACCAAGCACTTGGTCTAGTGGTTGGCCCATGCATGGTTGGCCCGTGCACTTCCCGAGTCAGGTAGACCTCTTCGATACAGGTCAGGAAGCAATGCAACCGATCCGACTTAGTCAAGTGTTTCTCCTAAGAGATGTCTGGGTAATTGAAGTCACTCATGATGACCATATCCCGTGCGTGCACAGCCTCTGCCAGTTCTAGAGAAAACACCAGATCGAGCTCCTCCCCCTGGTTTGGTGGTCTGTAATATACACCTACGGTCTCTCTCACCAGGCCCCACCTTCTGCTGTAGTTTAACCCAGAGGGTTTCAAGTCGCTCTTCTTTGGAGTCAATGCTGGCCTCCAAGGAGGTGTACTGCTCCCTCACATAAAGAACTATATGTAAGGGAGCAGTACAGCTCCTTGGAGGCAGTTATTTAGTACTTGCGATGAAGCATCTCATGTAGACGTGCCTCTACGTTGTACGGCAGGGCAAAATTGAGTTAAGAGATACGAAAATAATACCTAGTTTGGTTTGTAAGAGTGGGGACCTACTCTCTCTTACACTATTCTTACAATGATGTGACATCACCTGGGATCCTGGTTTTTTCTGACTTAAAAACATCCCTAATTTTTGGTTTAAAAAAGTAACCCCAAATCCACATTTTTCTATGATTAAAATGAAACACCATATATTAGTGGTGAATAACCACTTTTTTTAAACTGAAAATTGGGGATTTTTTTAAATCAGAGAAAACCAGGATCCCTGGACATCACTTAGTTCAATAGAAGTGACATGAGAATTAGGATCAGGCTCCTACATATCTTTCTGTCTTGCTAGCCTATCAAACCTGGCAGCAGTACTACATAACCTGCAGACAAATCTAGCTAATACTTATGGGCATGTGAATGTATGTGGCTTTTTACAAAGAAATACCACTACAAATTGGTATAACAACACAGCTCTGGCCAACCAAGATCAGCATGTCTTTTACCTGTTCCTTTAATTTGTTTTTTCTAGCGAGGTCCTGCTGATGGTCTTTGAGGCATTCTTGTTTCCTTTCCTGCTTCTGAATCTGGTTGTAATGTATGTCAGCAGAGGATGGTCGCAGCCCCTATTAATGTACAAGATTATTCACAGAGCAAAATAATTTCCATTTGGCAAGTTCACCCAATTCATCCTCACTCTTTCACCTTGAAAGGGCCATAAAAAAAATTAAAAAATAAGTAGAAACATTCTACGCTGTCAGATTTTTTTAACAATAAAAAAATAAAACCTTCTGAGCAACTTTGGAAAAAGTAAATCAACAAAAATATCAGAAACAGATTTTCTACTTGCCAAGGTTATACTCTGCTATGAGAAAGGGTTGGGTTCACTTTCTTGGGCTTCATCACCTCCCATTATATGAATGTTATTCTCTGATCCAGTATTTACTTACCAATTGTTTTTCCACTTTCATCTTGTACTGTTGGGCTTCAAGCCGTCTTTGAAGATATTCTCCAACCCTGACAAAAAACCATGCCATTCATCTCTGGTATCTGTGTTAACAACTTTCAACAAAATAATTTACATGGAAGTCCCCTATAGCCACCCACTCACCTACATCTTTCTTCCTTTATCAGACGTTATTAACTAAACTCACTACATTATGTGAAATATAAAAAGAATGTATTTCTAGAACAATAACACTGCAGCAATTAAGTATAAAGACAGTTTATAGTTTATATTTTTCCTCTACCCTTTCCACTTCTCTGATTATACTAATCTTCTGCTGGGTCTGTAAAATCTGCCATAGTTTCATTTTTCATTTGAGAAATAGCCTGTGAGCAATGTTACTAAAATAACATTATTTTGTAATGCTTTCACACAGGGGGGGAAAGAATTGCCAGAATTAGGGTTGTATGTTCAACCCCTAACTTCTTGACTTTTTATATATCCAACTTAACTGTGCATTAGCCTGGAAGTTTTTTTTAAGTGCAAAACAGTTAGCAAAGTTCCCTGATCTATAACTATTTGACTTCAAAAATCTGATCTATTGCTGTTGGTCAGTAAGTGAAACTACACTCATGATAATCTAAAATGCAAACTTCACGGTCATATGGAGACACTCAAGCCAACTTTAAATGAACTAGTTTGGGAACTAAAAGCAGCCCAGCCATGACAGCATGGACCTCCATGAGGGATATTTTACCTTGATTTTTGCACAGGCTTTGGAGGCTGCTCTGACATCTATCTGCAGCCACACAGCCACCAAAACCTACAATAGCTAATTTTAAAGCTAGCTAGGGGATTCCCCCTACACTGCAATCTACAGTGCAGACATACATTGAGTCTGGCCTTAACTGAATAATTCTAAATTCAGCCATCCATCACTCTTAATTAAGACATCCTGAGCCATGCCATCCTTGCACAAAACCCTTTGACCCACCCTACTTTAACTGAAGCTTCCCAACAAGGCACTATGTAAACCTGGTGCTCCAAAGCATTCTTAACCTGGCCTATTTTATAAAAGCCCCTCCATCCTTGACTAATGGATTGAAAGTTTCAGAAAAAAGGAGAGGAGCTCTCCATTGTGGAGCTTATAATCACCACAGGAGAAAGACTCTGAAGTTTATAAATGAGCAGGAGAAAGGGTCCTTTATGTTGAATCCACTGCATAAACTCTGCAGGAGAAAATTTCTCTATAACCTACCTACATCATTCTCCAGGTTAGAGAACTGCAGTAGTAGTTCCTTCTGAGCTAGGAGAGGAACACAGACAGCACTTGGCCATTCTAGAGCATGTGTGAAGATAGAATGAGTTTTACTGAGTCCCAGAATTTTGACTAGGAGCTATACAGAGGTCTAGGAGAAGTTCCTCTAATGAACAAATCTCAACATTAATAAAATTAGATTCAAAAGTGTATCTCTAGGGCTGTATTCAGTATAGGCATTTCATTTTCTTTCTTGTTGAGCCACATATAACATGACAACCACATCATAAGCTGACTAGGAAAGTGATCAAATTGTATGAGGGACTGTGCTTCTACATATGAATCTTGCTACGTGATGGAAAAGGATGATGGATCAAGCTATTTGTGATACTTTGATATTTAAATAGAGAAAAACAATTACCACTCAGGAGGGGGCAGAGGGGGTGGAATTTGTCCTTTTACTTTATAATATGCTTCAACTCTCTGGCTGAAGTGAGAAAAGTCATCTTGTACGTAAGCTTCCTGCTGCAAGTTGTCAAGTTTATCGTAATAGTGACTGTAACGTCCATGTACTCTGGCACCTTCTGGCCTTTCAGCCATCTTAAATCTGGGGCTCCACTGCTGAAAATATATACAACAGCATGAATTATAAAGGTAATGAATGATTCATTCTTAAACCAAGATATCATAAACTGGATATTAGTTACATTTTATAAGGCAAGTTCCCATCCTACCCTTCATTCTAAGTCCCATGATAGTTGTTAAAAACAATTTCCCCAAATGTTTTATCACCTAAGCCAGAGGCTTTCTGGCTTCCAGAGGCTCATGCTGCCTATTGCAGCACTTCCAATTACTTCACCTCTTTTAATTAAGAGGCAATTCACACTGCTTTGTGTGAAAGCAACAAACAAAATCCACTAGAACCACTGTGATAAATTCCAGTCACATCACTGAAGGCTTGAGCCTTGAAGGAATTCCAGGGGTGGCTTATTAAGACAGGTGTGAGCAAAGGGATCATAGAGAGACTCGAGCAACACACATCTTCTTGCTGCTGCTCTCTTGTGAACATTGCTATTTCAAACCACCATCTCTTTGATTTCCTGCCTGCAGTAAACTGTGTCTCATTCCTCAAATTTAACTTTGTTCAGAAACATTCCTTTATTTCTGCTTTATACCATATATGCCTTTTCTGTTCCTCATGAAAAGAACAGAAGAATAAGGAACATCTATCTGCTATAGTCTAAAGTAACTACTGTATGCTAGGAAGTAGGTGAAGTGAAAACTGCACTATGCTATGCTAGAACTATGCTATATTTAAACTTATTCTCCACACTAATTGAAAAATTAGTATGTTATCATTCTCTTAAATGTTAATGTGCTAAGTTTTACCTCCTTGTATTTCTAATTAGGAACACTGAAAAAAGCTCCGCTCATCTCCATCTTGTACATTCCAGGTCACAGCATATAAATATTTTAAAGTGCTAATTTCTTCTACACATGGCACTGCAATGCTGCACAGGAACTGTTAGCACTAGAAATCGTACATTTTATCACTCACTGATAGAAGAGTTATATAGAACATAGATCAAAAAATTATTTAAAAAGTGGAATCACCCACACAAAGAGAAGCTTATTGGGTCAAAAAAAACCTAAAAAACAAATTCAAAGTAGGATTGTGAATTGTGAGAAACAAGTCCCTCAGCATGCAATCCCATGGATCTCATTTGTCAAAGAAATTGGTGTGATATTGTGGATGTATCCTCAATCCTTTCAGACTGATTTTCTCATTTGGTTACCTAGAGAACTGGGAAGCTAAAGTTACACCACCAAGCTAGTACGTTAAAATACTTTGGACCAAATTCTAATCTCAGTTATGCCAAAGTAAATCTGAAACAATTGCACTAGCATTAGTGGACTTGCTCTAGATTTACAACAACATAGCTGTGTGGAAATAAGCCTAACATCTTTTAAATGGGATCAGACTACATTTGTTTGCCTCTCTTCCCAAATACCAAACTAGTTACCCAGAACTCTGTCTTTAAAAGGAAGATTCTGACTTCCTATGGTAATAAAGATCTCAAAAAGTTGTGGAGATCTGAGTCTTATTGACACAGTACCTGGATAAGAGGCTGCTGAACTCGCAAAGGAGGTTTCCATTCATTTCGATGTGATAATTCTTGTTTCTTGGCAAGTGCCGCCACCTTGGATCTTGGAGAAAGGTGCTCCTCAACTCTCACTTTTTGAAGTTTAGGAGCTTATTTAATGATAAAAAATATGTGGATCTTCTCATTTTTATGGCAGTTACTACCACAATGCTTACTATGTGATCACTGTAAACTACATTAAAGTGCATATATCTGACACAGGCTAGACAGGCTAATAATGCCCATTTATATCATTCCTCTTTAATAATCATCACCACTTCCAAAGTATTGTGCCTTTCTAATGACAAGCTGTTTGAACATATTAATTAATGTCAGGTTCATCATGTCTGTGTGAGGAAGCTATTATTGGGCACAATTCATAAACAAGCAGTGTGGCACAGAGAAGTGTTTCCAAGGTCACACAGTGATTCAGGGTTAGAGCAAAGAAGAGAATTCAAAAGTTCTGAGTCTCATGCCAAATTTCAATGGAAGTTATACATCCCACTCAGTACCTATCTGTACCTTTAGCTGTGAAAATACCTTTATAAACCTGACCCTCAGTCTTATACTTCAGGCACTAAACAGCATTTCACAATAGTTCTTTCTGAATTCTAAGAAAAAAAGCTGAAAAACTGATTTAGACATGAAGGATAATACACCATTTGAAAATGAAACTTGGGCTCCTAACTCAATTAGAAGCTTTTGAAAATTTTACCCATAAAAAATCATAAAAATCACAGCTAACCATATCTGCCTCCACAAGAATGCTTAAATTGCTTCTGTGTTTCGATACGTAACTTTGGGGAGTAATTCAAATATACAGAACAACAGAGCATTAGAAAGAGATCAAGTTCCTCTTGTTCAACAGTTTCAGCAGTATCACAGATGTTATGGCAGACTGACATCTCAGTTTTGAAGACTGTGTGCATCAGCTGATTTATGAGTGAGTGTCAAAACCAAGTCCAATAATCCATATTAATTTGCACAACGTAGTTGGCTATTAAAGTCCTCAATAATTAACTATTAAAATGTCTGTGACATTTAATTATTAAAATCTTAGCAATCCCTTGCAGTTGAGGATGATTATCTTCTAAGATTGCCTTATCTGTGTGTTTGAACATGGCTGATGAAGCCTATCCAGGATCGACAGACTCTACCATAGCTCATACATGTGTTTCCATGTGGGGTGGGTTATTAAAATAACAGACTACTCAAATATCTGTGACCAACCTGGACCTATATTACACACGAGATTATTATCTGTGTATTTTTAAGGGCACAAAAGTATACTCAGTACTCTAAAGAACCAATTGACACATCTACACTGCACTGGACCATCCTAGGAAGCACTACCATCAAAATGCACCCTTGCCTGCTTGTACTTTGTGTGCACTGAGTGCCAAAAACTGTAATATAGCTGCACTGGGCAAACCATGGACATGGCCCCAAAGCAGCTAAGTTATATTTTTGTTTTGAGTGTACAGGGAGCAGGAACGTTAGCTTGATCTGACATAGCGTTACTCCATCCCTGCCCTGACAATCTTACTATTTTATATTAGATATAGCAACAGGAATAGATAAAATCAGAAAAGGCAAGTTTTACAGCAACAAAGATTTTTTGCTAACTCTGTTCAGGCATGAGCACTTAATGTCTTGATTTAAAGGTCTGGAGTTTATTCTAATTATTATTATTACTACTACTACTACTACTACTACTATTATTATTATTATTATTAACAACAACAACAACTCTCTTGCGGGCAGGGTGGAAGGGGTAAGTTTGGTACTCCCTAATTAATTAGTTGACATACCAAAATCATGATGCAATTTAAGACAAATAACAGTTTGTACTCCAGAAAGGCGGGAGGCTGCAACTGCACGTATTTTGCAGGCTAAGATGAAGGGTACTTTAGCAGAGTCAAAGAAGGATGTTTGAAAACTAATGACCTTGAATTACTTCTATCTGGCAATCATATTAGCTCCTTAGTAAATTCTATCAGGTTGAGCTATAAATGACTGGTTAGAACATTCCTACAGCTGCTTCCAGCAGTAAACTTCTTTGGTGACCCAGACTTAAATGAAAGTTGCCTTTCCTGGTGGAATATATGAATAGAGCAGTGGTGCATTCAGTGCCTGTCTTCCTCATTAGGGTGAATGCTTCTGTTGGTAGAGTTCTCATCCCCTGGAAAAGTTAAATCCATCTAGTATATATTGCCCATAAGGATCTTAGGATAGGACTAAGACTGGGTATATTACTGTCATTAAACAAGTCTTACCCTGTACCAGCTTGGATACCGGCTGTGCTACCAAAGGTCTTTTTCTGTGTATAACAGTGTGGCTGAATTCTTCTTGTATTATCTATCAACAAAAAAAGGTTTCTGATGTAACTGCCTCTATTGTATCTTGTTTAATAAGATTATGCTAAAGTACATGGAACCAAGTCAGAATCTCACCTCAGGGGGTAAATATCTGACAATGAGCTTCCCCAAGAAGGGCTTCTTTAATATTGAATTGACAGATGGTCGATCTATTGGAGATATTTTAAAGAGCTGAGAAATTAAGATCCTCAGGTCATACGAATACTTTGGAGAGACAGGAATAAAACATCCTTGGCAGATCTTCAGCACCAGCTGATGTATGTTTTTGCCTTCAAACTGACACAGCAAAATATAACAATCAATCAATAACAGTTACTGCAGTTGGTATGGGAAGTAATGGACTGTGACTATTTAAAATGGCTAAGAACAATGATGAATGACATGGGGATGCAGAAAGACGGCTAAGTATCTGGTTTAACTGTCCTTTCTCTCATTCCTGTCATGTATCCATTTGGTTCATTTTTAGGACAGGGTAAGGAGAGGTGACCCAGCCACTCTTGAGCTGAGTCTGGGTGTGGCTTATTTAACTTAATTGTATTTCCTTCCAAGGCAAAGTCTATCAGGCCATCTACCAGCAGAGGAGCAGCAATGCAAGGTGGAAGGCTGTGTGTAAGGGTTGTGCCACTCCTATTTTGATCCGAGTCAAAACCTCAAATGAAATGTCTGTTTATAGATTTACATTCCCCTGGTTATCAACCATGTTTTTCAACAGGCCCACTAGGCAAGAAATCATTAGAGATCCCGTGATCAGTAATGATGTGCAGTATCCCAGAATAAGTCTCTTCAAAGCAACTCGTGATTCATTTTGTTAAAAGGTGTACCACCTCTACACAGTAGATTTAAAAAACAAGATGATGTATACACACATTCTTGTACTTGGCATTCTGCCCAAGCCCCTAGTTGAGATTACTTAGCCTCAGTGTCCGCTGCTCTCTTGGGAACCAAATTATAGCCTGCTGGCTGCAGCCCCCTTGCTCAGTTTTTGGGTTAGCCTCCCACAAATGACCATTTCCTCTCCTCTTTGTATAGTCTTTTCATTTTTTAGAGACTAAGTCTAGAAAAAACAAACCTGAAAGTAACATTTTGTTGTAAAGACACCACTGTTTTCTTAGCTGCTTTGAAGGTGTATCTGAGACTGTCCTATCTCTTAGTTCTTGTTTTATCCCATGTCTAGGCTACTCACTGGCTCCCGACTGATTCCAATCTTTGAGTTCATACAGGCAGTGAAAGAAAACTGAGCAGGAAAACAGAAGCACACACATATTTATTTTTTATCAATATTAATTAGGTACTTTCTCAGTCCAGGAAATTTGGCACTTTTTCTGGTAGCACTCCTGTGTCCTCAAGTCAGCCTCCATCAATCTTTTTCTTCTCCTTGCTAAGTCAGAGGGGGAGTTTAAGTGGTCCACTTATAGACACACTGACCAGCCTGTGCTTTGCTCGCTATTCAACAGAAAGCTTTTGTGCTGAGAACCAATCGCAGGAATGTTCCTTTCTGAAATGTACTGGGTTAAGACTCTACTGGCATTGAATTGCTTCCAAATTAAATCAACATTTACTTGAATGTTTCCAAGGACTCTACCTAATTTTGAACTTCAAAATCTTCAGTAAATTTAGGTCAAGATTTTCAAACCGGGGTAAGTAAAATGAAGTACCTAAATCCACACTTAAGCACCTAAGTTTGAAACTTGGCTTCAGTTCTTCCATTAGTTTGATGGCTGATTCCTATAACTGAAGGAGGTTTAATTAAAAGATTAATTTTAAAATGTAATGCTCTGGAACAGATCTGACTTGAGAGGAGAGGTGACAGCCACATATGGATTTGAAGTAGCAATGCTCCATGGAAGAACAATACATTATGTGTGTATATAGTATATTTGACTTCATTTCAATATGCAGGAAACAGGCAAAGTGTGAGAAATTAAAGTGAAAGAACTGATGAGTATATCCTAATTATTAGGACCTAATGCATACTCATTTAACTTGCAAAATATCTGTTTCCAACAGCTATCTAGGAAATATTCGCATTGCAATTATTTTCTGCCTGGTTTAATACTTTTTTCAATAACAAGTTAATGGTCTAACTGATTATGTACTTACAGGATGCTTTAAAGTGCACAACTCATAGAGAACACAGCCAAGAGACCAAATATCCCTGTAGATGAAAGTAATTCAAATTTCAGAGGAAAGCATGTCATGTTTTCATACAAATAAGTAGTGTCTTCACTTCACCACTCCAACTATCTGACAATATCCTATTAAAAGGTTAATACTGTGGCAAGGTTTTGTCTAACTGTGCCAAAAATAACTACTGGATTTTATTTTTCTGTTTTCTGGTATGTAACAAGGCCCCTCATTCTTGGTGTTTAAGTTGTATTATTACTATACAATTATAATCATGCCAAAATTGTATTAACAACTTTCAAGTGTGCCAGATGAGTAGAATATGAACTAGCTAAACAGTTCACAATTCAAAGTAAAATAGGTTTTGAAAACTGTTATTTTAGAGGTGTAATAAATACCATTAGTTTGTAGTGGATCTTTTCACCTATCATACGTGCCTGCCTGAATGCATAAATGTAAATAACTGCCTCCAGTTTCAATTGTGCTTGTAACGGTAAAACCCATTCCTGACCTTTTTCTTCACTGAAGGCAGACTCTGGTCAGAGTTGAATGACTCAGGTTTACCAGCAGAGAATTAACTGAATCTGATCCATATGGAGAAGGTGACTGAGTTATAGTCCAATTCTAGAGCTTGAGCCCATTATTCAGTGTACTTTTCCACACCAAAACTATCCCTGTACATATCAATTACCTTATACTTCTGCCTCTCCTTGCCATTTCTAGCAGTCATGTTGCCAGAGTATGATGCTATGAGTAGGGAATGTCTCCCTTAAATCCCTGAATAATGGAAGGACAGCCTGCTTTTAAGTGACTGGGAGCAAGGGACCTGAGCAGCCTGAAAAGAAGCCACAATCTAGGCTGGAGACAATCCTACATACGAACCCATCAGGAGCAGACTTTCTGGGTATATCATCTCCAAAATATGTAATTCTTCAATCAGAGCAGATCAGCCAGGGAGCACAAAGCAAGAAGCAGAAAGTAGAGCAGTAGATCAGGAAAGGGAAGGGGATCAGAGTGACATATGGGGAGGGTGATAAGCTATGTTGTGGCACTCCTGCCTAAAAAGTTGGTCATCACTATCTTTGAACTTTTTTTATTTCACTGGGGCAGTGAAAGACATTGAACCAAAAATATCTTTTAAGTCTTACGTTTTATTGTTATATGGTCGATTCTCACAGATCTCAGGAGATAGGTAATAGGGTGTCCCTACACAGGTACGGGCAAGCTCCATGGTGCTAATGGGAAATAGTGAACAAAAGAAGAATACATTATATAGAAGAGTTTAATGTAGCACTAGCTCTGAGGGAAAAGATCATAACCAGGAAAGGATCCCACAGAGGCTATTATTTTTGCTGTAAAATAAATTAATACTGATTCAGTGCATTAATTTAAACCCCCTAGAGACAAAATTAAAGCTCTCTCACTCTGTATTAAAATGTCAATGTCCAGGTAATTTTCCATGGTTTTTTACTCCACAAGGGCTATTAAAATATCCTAGAAAACATCTGCATTTGTACAAAGCTTAGAATTCACCTGTTATCCATTGTATGTTCTGATATAGCCTCTATTACTATACTATGTGAGCTCCACACAATCTGTGGTACATGTATTCTCACAACACACTACAAGGTAAGGGAAGTACTATAGATCTGGGATCAACAATGTTTTCTGGCATGGATCTCGAATTACTCAGTTTGGATGCGAGGAAGGCAGGCACTAGGATCTGGCTGCTTCCACTGCTTCTCCCTGACACCCAATTGTGACATGGTGCAGGGAGACCCCTTTGTCCAGAGTACTTGGCACGTGGCTGTGGCACAATGCAGGCAGAGCCCCCTGCTGCCAAAGCGATGACTCTGCATGCTGAATCAAAAGGCTGCATGGGCTTGATTTGGCTCACAGGCTTTGGGTTGCTGACCCCTACTGTAGACCCATTCTACAGATACAGAACTGAGGCATAGAGGATATATATACACATCTCATATATATACACATATGTATCTCAAGCAAAACCAGGGAAGTCATCCTCCAGCTTTACTCTGCCCTGGTGAGACCACAGCTGGATTACTGCATCCTGCATTGCATCCCCTCCCACCCCCCACTTCAGGAAGGACGTGGAGAAGCTTGAGAGAGTCCAGAGGAGATCCACATGTATGATCCAAGGCCTAGAGGGAAGGCCATACGAGGAGAGGCTGAGGGACTTGGGACTCTTCAGTCTGGAGAAGAGAAGGCTCAGGGGGGACTTGGTGGCAGCCTACAATTACATAAGAGGGGTACATCAGGACCTGGGAGAACAGCTGTTCACCAGAGTTCCCCAAGGGATAACAAGGTCTAACAGCCAAAAACTCCAGGAATAACGATTTAGACTAGACATAAGGAAAAAGTTCTTTAGGGTGCATGTATCCAGGGTCTGGAACAAACTCTTCCCAGAGGTGGTACAAGCACCTACTCTGGATTCCTTCAAAAAACAGGTGGATTTATTTCTTGCTGGGGTCACTTGATCCCAGCTAACTTCCCGCCTACGGCGGGAGGGGGCTGGACCCGATGATCTCATGGGGCGCATCCAGATGAGCGCATGCGTGCCTCTTGTCCCGCCTCAAACCCCTTTGAGGTGGGGCAAGAGGCACATGTGGGAATGAAAATATGTTCCCTAGGTTGCAAACTTGAAGCGCAGGGAGAAAATTAGACCCCTGGATATCCTGGAGCAGCTGGAATTGATGCTGTGGGTAGTGCAGTCTGGTCAGTGTGGGCACTGCAGGCTGTGTGGCTTCTGAAGAAGCCAAAGCAGGTGCCATGGGCACTAGATCCAGCATAAAAGAGTGGAAAGAGAGGGTCTAGGGTCTGTGAGCCCATTGGCCAGATTAATTCAACACCCCTGTTTTAACAGAAACTTCAAAGAAAAGAAAATACACCACGGAACAACGTGAAGTCTTAAAGTTTATTTCTACTGCAACTAAAGTCAATGACAGAAATGTCTATGACTTTCTTTGAGCTACCCCAGGTAGTGCTGAACCCGAGGGTGTGGCTATACCATGCCCCTAGCACTCCTGAAGAAGGCTACTCTTAAGCACACCCCACCCATTTACTGCCATTCACACCAAATTTAGAAAAATAAGGAGGCTGATTCAGGGTGTTCTCCACAGCCACTCCCAAACACATGGGAAACAGAGGTCTTGAGAAAGCCTGTGCCTCATTTCTGAGTTAGGTGTATACTGTATATGAGCAAGAGTAGACGGACAAAGCATTATTGAAAGCATACCTTTCTGGGAGGGTCATGGAAGTAATATAGCCATACCCTCAGTACCCTGAACTTGCTCGCTAAATACAACATAGTTTCAATCAGCACCTAATCTTCAGGAATGGTGACTTTTTTAGGGTTGGTTTAGTCACAAAAACCAAATGAAATAGAAGGAAATGCTTACTTGTTCAGCATTCTTGCTATACCAAAGTCCCCAAGCTTTGCTATCATTCCATTATTGCTAAGAAAAATGTTCTGCAAGCAAAGAAAAAATGATATGCTATAATGAAACATGGAAGAATTTTACAGGCATGCATTTTTGAAAGCGTAAAATGAAAAACTGTAACTCCTACCTGTGCTTTTACATCTCGGTGTAAAACCTTTCTGTCATGAATATGCTTCAATCCTAAGGAGACCTGCACAAACCAACTCAGAATCTAGGGTGAGAGATAAAATGCACAGTTACATTGTCCTATTAAAAACATAAAACAAAAACAAAAGTCAAACCTAAAATATACACTGCATATACACAAACCAAGATCAGAAATGTGGTTAAATAACAGAATTGTAAAAGGAAACTGCATAGCAACTGCACACACTATCCCTGACTTAAACAAGGGCTATTACACCTTCTCCCTGGCCCTGATCCAGGAAACAATTAAGCATGTGCTTACACTAAGTACAAATCTGTACTTTCTTTGACATGGATTTTTGGCCCTATTTTAGAGATGCAGATCAGCATGTGCTTAAATTAATCTCTATTTAGTAAAGCACATGCTTAATTTTAAGCACATGTTCAAGGCCCACTGACATTGTGAAGTTTTGTGAGAAGCTGGTGGCCATGAAATTCTGCAATTCAGAAATCTGTCTTCAGGAAATCAGGCTAGCACCTGCATACATTTAAATAAACCAAGGGTTAAGCAACAGGCAAGGATTTCCCTGAGTGATGTATGTTATTGGACCAACTGCACAGTTGGGACAGAGTTAGACGAGCTTTTGACTACAAGACATTCTTCTTCAGAGGTTAAGGGCTTCTCTGAATAGAACTGATTTTCTGATTGGTCTTTTTATGAACATTACATTCAAACATAAATTTCAAGATATGTAAACGTACTATTGGGATTAAATGTAATTGGTAAATCTGCTTCTCTTTTTCTGTCTCTGCTTTCTTTTACTTCCTTCTGATATTCAAGTTTCTTGTTAGCTTGGTTCTATTTTTATTTTTGCTGTCAGGGCTTTTTTATTTTTATTGGTTTGTATTTTTCTGATTTGTGAATTTGTCCTCTAGTATAAATCTTACTCTCTCCCTTGTGTCTCTAGTAAACGTCTGAACCAGAGGGTCATAAAGTCCTATGTTACTAAACCATCAAGTTGCTTCTAACTGCTTCCCATGCAGCTGGTTCCTTTTTTCTCTACCATTTAAATGGAAAAAAGCTAAGAGATTTATATGGTCGATTTAAATATTACTTTCAGGATGAATTGAGAATCACATTTTCAAGCCAGTTTAGCTTTGATCTGTTTTTGTGCAGATACAGTTTTGTAAGTGCAACAACAGTTTAGATCATAAAATATCTACGTTTCCAAATGCATCTGCGAAAACAGAGATCAGTGTCTGAATACCTAACACATGTTTTCTGTATTTAAGTCCAAGATGCCAGTATATTAGAGAGTTTCTGTCAGTTAAAATAGGGATATATTTTACTGAATTAATCTATGCTGATACAGGCTCTGAAGGCTGTCAGCACCCTGGGATTGTTTCTGTGTGTTGGCTTAACAATTCACAATCCTGTTTACTTCTCACCTTCCAGCTCAAATGCAGCTTCTAATCTAAAAGATCTTTTCTCCAAAACTTAACTGAAAATTAGTAGTATGAAGGCACTCAATCTCCAGAACAGGACAAGAAATAAAAATCAGTGGTCAAAATACAGTTAATATTTCACTTTTAGGCCATTAAGCATTGTTAAGAACCTCTGTAAAACAATTACAAAGCCTTATCTACATGGACCTTGTGACTGTAACACTTAAAGCAAGTTACTACATATTCCTATTAAGTAGTATTTCATACTATTTATTTTATGGTACAAATCCTTTCCTCTAAAAGCAACCCACTTTACCTGGTCCTCATCAAACAGCACTCCACGCTGCAGATTTATCCTGTTCATTAGATCACCTCCATCACAATATTCCATGATGATATATAGATTGCTCCTTTCTGCAAGTAGAAATGCTAGTTCTTTATTTTCCCACAATTACTCCGTTATTTATGGATTCAGTAACTAACTATTTTTGTTACAGCTAATGCTATTTTGACTAAATTACCTTAGCTTCTGATCCTCTATCTTGCTCAAGATGATCATGCTTACCCATCATAGTGTCAGAATGAATTTTTCCTTCAGCAATGGTGGAGAAAACATATTGTATCAGTGTCCCCACCATCCTAGCATGTGCAATGTTTCAGAACCAGATAAAGGTTTCAGATAAAGGTTATACTGGTTTCAAATAATAAACTATTCTGTCTTCGGGCGCCCACAGCCATAGCCACAAAACCTTCTCTTTAGAGGGACTCCACTTCCCCTTTAGCATTTTGTTTAAAAAATGTACTCTTGGAGGGTATTTTAAAAGTGCAAGAGACTGAGCAAGCATTAAAAAAGCTCTGAGAATTCAAAATGCAGGTTGTTGATTCAGGACATCTAAGACAGATGCATTAGTTAAATTAAAAAATGCATGTGCCTCTTTATTAAATGCATATTAGTCATTATTTGTTGCACTTTTTAATGAAACAAAACTTCTATCTTAAAAATCCAAGTTAATGTTGAAGTACAGACTGCAGACAGTGCTGACAACTGCTGGGTTTTGTAATACAACCTTCTCTCCAACAGATCATGGACTTCACTGTGGACCTCACTAGCCCATCAGGATATCACCAGTCCAAAATACAGTCCCATTAAAAATCTGAGATGTTAAATTCCTCTGCATCACAGTTTTCTTTTTCAGTCTGTTGTTCTCTTTGGATCTGTGCCTTGCATAATTATTTGAAAAGCTTGGACACAGTCTTCTAACAACTTGTCAATTAATTGTGATAATTATCAAGTATTGACCACGACATCTTGGCACTTGAGATATGACTTTCCCAATTTACTTTAATTAACTTGAGTTTTCCACATGTAATTTTTTTTATTGTATTCCTTAATGAATACCTGCTTAGGTATTCATCTCATGTTATTTTTTTGTGACATGCTCTATAAAAAACACAGATTTTATGAAAAAGAGAACAACCATAGTATTATCAAACTGATGAAGAAGTTGTATTTGAGATAGTAAATTATCTCATGCTTCTGATTCATCAATGAAATATTACTTTGAAAAGAAACACATCACAGATACTTACCCCTGTCCAGTAATTCCTCTTCTTCATCTACCCACCCAAAAATCCTCCTGAAGATAACATACTGCCAGCTACATCAATCTGCAATATTTACTCATCTGATTGATTATAAGCAAGGTTCCATCATCATATATAAGATTATATATGTATGCATTAAGTACTCTGCAATGGAGAGGCTGGGGCATTGGAGCCATGATGGTCCAAGGGAATATGGAAGAAGCAAGGATTTTTTAGTGATATCTTTTCCTGGACTGTCTGTATAACTGGGAGAGATGTCTGAGACTTTCAGGCACAAAATACCCTTCTTCAAGTGTGGATGATTTACATCCAAATGCTCATCTTATATCTTTCCCAACTCATCTAACATCTCTCCCAACTATACATTTGGCCCCAGGGGTGCAGCAAGCTCCTTCAGCACCCAGGGTAGGTAGAGGAGAGGGGAATTCTGCTGAGCACTGGAGAGCAGGGCTAAGGGGATGGGGTAGGAGACAGGTTCTTATCTGTCCCTGCTCCCTACACTCAAGCAGCAGGTGCTACTGCTGTGACTGCTGCCCCTGGGGGACAGGCTCTGTGCAGCAGCCTCACTATTTGGGCTGCGTAAGAATTGCCCCTAGTACCCTATTCACTCCCCCTTCTCCACCCCACTCAATATGCTACTGGGTGCAGGACTGTGACTGCCATGGCAAAGACTCCCCAAGGGAGCACCATTCTGCTCTTCCTGTTTCCCCACAGATATACTACTGGGTGAGGGGCTGTACCTGCCTGGCTCCTACAGCCAGGCAGAACAGGGCTATTCCTACCATGGCAAAGATTCCTGGGGTGCGGAGGCAACTCTCCTGCCCCATCAAAGACAATGCCTGGGGCTAGTGCTCCGTTCACCCCTGTTTAGTTGCATTACCAGTTAGTCCAATAAAATATATCACCAAACAAACCTTACTTCTCTGTAGTATGAAACAGCAGAACAGACAAAGCAAAGCGAAACAGAAACAAGAGGTAACAGGCAACAGTTCAAAAAAATAGACAAGGGCAAAACCTAAACCATAACAAACAAGCAAACATTCCAGGTTTAAAATACAAAACACACACTCAATCTACATGTCGAATGAAAAAGGGGAACAATAAAAAGATGTCTGGCACATGCATTTTCTGCAGCTTCTTTTTGTTGTTTCACTACGTTGTTTCACTAGTTCAGTGAGGTTGGCAGCCCCCTACAACGGGACCTGGCTTTTCAATTTGTCAATAAGGCACTATACAGGTTTCCCTCGCTTTATGTGGGATCTGTATGTGCAAATTTGCTGTTATGCAATGCCTCTTTCATGCCAAAAATTCGTTATATGCGAAGTAAAATCACCCTTATGCGATCGGTGTGGTAGAAGCCTGCAGTCAGCTGCTTTGTGCGGTGCATTGTGAGAGTGACGCGCACCAAAATATAGTATCCCATGTGGATCTGTGCTCCTCGCTCATTGTCTGAGACACACGTTTCTGTAGCTGCCATCCCCACTATGATAGTACCCTATGTGTACTGTCTGCTGTTGGTGAGTACCAAAACTGTCTTGTAAAAGTGGTAGAAATGGGTCTGAGGGTCAGTACAGTCAAGGTCTTGGAACATATCCCTATTTGTTACATTGTAAAGTGGGCTCCTTTTATGTGAATTTCAGTTGTGTCGTTTTCCAGGAACACATGTACAGCATAAAGCAAAGGAAACCTGTACAATATCCAGGTGATACAAAATTAATACATAATTACTTGATCCAGTCCAGAAAGATATTTTTATGTAGTAAACACGTAAGGTGTATATTTTTCACTTATCAGCGGTTCTCAGGTAAGTCAAGTACTTTAATATTTTAGTCTTATGTAATTTATAAGTGAATATAGGTTGAGTTTTATAAATATTTCATTTTAAATATCAAAATCATAAATAAAATACCAAAACTAAAATAAAACCTTGAAAAGAACTGTAGAATGTTACTATGTTTGGGTGCTTCATCTTGGCCAGAAGAATTACTTCCTTCTGAGATGCTTCTTTTTCTTTCATAGGCATCTAAAGTGAGTTAAGAAAGAGTAAAATGGTAATTTCCTATTATATACTCTCAATATGTAGTGATTGAGATATCATACAAGCCACCTGAAGAAAAATTAAATACATATTAATTAATTTAAATGCATCAAAGATTATTTAAAGGATATTGCCCAATATTAAAAACTGTAACACAGCCAGTGAAAAATACAAGCTCAGTCTAAATAATTGAAAATATATTGGCCCTTTTACTTAAAACACAATAAATGACAGTTTAGCCTCTGATCTGACAAACAGTTAAGCAGGTGTGTAAATTTACACTTCTTATACATTTATATTCCTGTTAGGATAACTTCATGACTCACACAAGTCAAGTTAGAGTAGGCCCTACCCACATTAAGTGTCTGTAAGATCAGGGCTTATGTGACTTACATTCTTGGCATGGTTAACTTCAAAAGAACAAAATATAAAAGAAAGAAGTCATTTTAATGATGTTACAAACTCTTGCAATATTTGGAGATAAATCTCTGCCTCACTGAAGTCACTGGCAAAATTAACATTGGCTTTGGTGGGGACAGGATTTCTAAAATTCAATCACCCAAGGTGTATTTCTTTAAGCTCAGAGTCCCAGAATCAAATTATTTCATGATAATCTCAGATAAAAATTAATTTATAGTCCTAGCAGTTGAAAAATCTTGAAAATGTAACCAGCGCATGCAAATTGAGAGCAAATAAAAGTAATCCAAATTCTGTTTATGTAAAAAACCTTAATGATTTTAAAGCCAATCTAATATTTTTTGGCACCCAGCTGTAATTTCTGGACACTTGAGGATGGTCAAACTATTTTATTCATTTCAATATCTTGGTAATGTGTTCATCAAAAGTCTATAAAATGTTTCATTGTTGTGAGCATACATTAAAATAGAACCAGTTATTTTTCAGTTTGCAAATCCTTCAGTTTTGAGTCTGAAAGCTGTACACAGATTTTCAGAACTGGTCTATGGAAAATGTATTCTTGTACTGTAACTTTGCCAAGCTTGAGTTATGCAGGTGAACATGCTTGAAAAATCACTAAATTAATAAGCAGAAGGTAGGGCCGGGTGGTACCCAGCAACTAAATGGTTCAGAAAAAGCATGAGGTTTCATAAGCAACAACATACTTTGTCAGCTGCTATGATAACATATAGTTAGCCTGCAAAGGTGCCAAACAGCTCTACCTTCTGCCTGACTTCAGCCTAACGTGGTTAACCAGCCCTCTTAACTAATATGCGTATTGAGCAGCTTCTTGAAAAGTACACTTTCCAAAATACTCTGAGGGTGCCTCCAGATGAGCACGGATGTTTGTTTCCCCAGGGACAAGCAGCAGCGGCACATTTCGTGCTGCTGCTACTTGTCCCCGGGAAACGCCTGTGCCACATGTGCTCTGGTGCACAGCAGGTTACCCTGGGTGGGGTAGAGGAGGCTGGGGCCAGCGACTATGCTGGCCCCAGCAGCCTTACTTGGGGTCTCAGGGCCTCCAGGGGCTGCAGCCGTGGCAGGAAGCCTGGCCAGCAGCCGCAATGTGGCTCTGGCTGATCAGGCTCTGGTTTTGGGTGGCTCACACTGTCTCCACATGTGCTGCCCTGTTTTTTGGTGTGGGTTTTTTTTACCCAGATCTCCCAGGGTCAACATTTAATTTAAGTGGTAAATTGCCTCCCAGTTATCTTAGAATCAGTGTGTGCAATTGGGCAGTTACTAAGGAGTAACTGAGGTGCTAAATTCAAGTCCTGGCTTACCTCTCAGGAATTTGCTTATTTAGCAACTTGTTATTGTAAAAAAGCAGAAAAAAATAATCCAAGTTCACACTGTAGTTAAATACAGACTTACAGAATCAAAACCAATAAGTAGCAATTATTTTTGTTGTTACCTTTGTTAAACTGATCACTTTGATAACACACTTCTGGTTATCAACTTCTCCTTTTGCCAAAAATACTTTGCCAAAAGCTCCTTCCCCAATCATTTTAATGATTTCATATTTATCCATGATGCTTTTCTCTTAAAGCAGGGTCTAAAATACAAAAAAAAAAAAAAAAAAAATCTCAACATTAGTGTTTTACAGGTAATCAGGGCTCGGAAAATATCCCAGAAATTTCTCATCTATTGGCGAAGTCAAAGATTTGCACTTATAATCACAGATGTTGTCATAATCAAGAAATATGGGTTGGTGGATAATGTATTTAGCTCAACCAGTTGTTCTCAACCTTTTAGGACTCAAGGCACCCCTTGGAAAAATGCCAGTTTAGTTTTTGCTTGATTTTTGGCTATACAAAAATGATAAAGCAATTCTTCTGTTGCAAAGAACTCACAAAGACCACAACAAGTCAGAATCCTTTTAACACTGGATTCCTAGCTGAAAATCTCTAGATTTATCTTCTGAATCATGCTTGTATACCCAACAGTGCTAACATTACATGGCACCCCTGAAAGTACTATGGTTGAAAATCAGACTTACACCAATTTATCTCAGACTTCAGACAGCCAAGTCCACTTTTGGAGAATAAAACCTACTGCATCTCCCCCCTGACCCCAGAGACCCAGCAGGTTTTGTAAGAGGCTTCCTCAAAATGATTAAAGGTAACATCTCAAGATGTGAACTAGGTAAAATCTTAATAATACCACAGGTCCTCTCTTTTCTTACTAGCTCTGAGCAGTGACAGAGTTAATGATAGTATACTACTGTATACATTAGGACAGTATATGTTAAGGACAGAGTTAACGACGGCATTTAAAGTATCCCCGCTGTTCTCTGGCAGCAGCAGCCACTGAAGCAGACAGGGAGGTTCACACCACGGCTATGCTTAAGGGGCTCCAGTGTTGCTCACTCACAGCCTAAACCCCATGTTAGTGGGAAAGGGCTTCCCACTCCAAACCCCAGCCCCCACAGTGACTGAATACCTGCAAATCTCAGCTGCCATTGTCAAACACAGTTCTGGGCGCTGTGCTTGCTGAGGAAAGGTTGAAACCCTGATTCAAGTGTGCCCAGAGACAAAAGACTGGAGCAAGGTGCTTATTCTGTGCCCCCTGCGGGAGTTTGAGTGTTCTCAGCAGTAGCAAAAAACAGAACAAGGACAAATGGTCTCATGTGGCAGTGAGGGAAGTTTATGTTAGATATGAGGAAAAACTCTCACTAGGAGGGTAGCAAAACATCGAAACAGGTTACCCAGAGAGGTGACGCAATCTCCATCCTTGGAGGTTTTTAAGACCAGCCTTAGCTGGGAGGAGGTAGCTGGAGACAGTCCTGCTCTGAGCAGGAGGTTGGACTAGATGAGCTCCTGAGGTCCCTTCCAACACAAACTCTCTATAGTTGTGAGGCGGCCCCAGGAGGCTGGATGTGGGCAGGACCAGGCTCCGCAGCAGTTGGGCAGAATAGGCTGCCTTTGCTGTGGGCCAGGGCCCTCTTCCCTGACGGGGCCTGGACGCTGGTAGGGGCCCCCGGATGCAGCAGTACCAGGGCTAAGGGGTGCGTGTGTACAGTAAGAGGGTGTCCATCCTTCCGTGCGTGCCCGTGCAGGCGCTGCCGCCCCGCCCCCGCTTGCGCCCCGGGCTCCTCCCTCCCCGTTGCCATGGAGACGGGACGCGCTAGGCCCGGGCCCCCCACCCCGCCAGGCGAGCCCGACCCCGGCCCCGGCAGATGGGACTGGAAGCGGTGTAGAGCTGCGAGCCGGTACCTGCAGTGCCGGGGGTCGATGCAGCTGCAGTAGGCCCGGGCCCGGGGCGGATCCTGGGCTGGCCCCGCCCACCACAGCTGTTACCGTACTGTCCCGTGTACGCACGCCCTCAGCCACGCCCCGCTCCTCTGCCTCCAGCACGGCGTCACACACCCGCCCACGAGTCCAACCCTTCATCGCACCTGCCCACTTCTGCCCCGCCTCTAGGTGCCTGTGCTGGGGCCAGGGCAGGTGGAAAGCCCAGCACCAGTTTGTCCCGGCAGCAGGAGCTCAAGTGCCCAGGACGCCCGGCTCCTTCTGGAGCAAACATGCCCCATCCCACTAACATGGGGCTCAGGATAGAAGTGGGCAACATTGGAGACGCTTAAGCATAGCCATGGTGTGAACCTCCCCGTCTCCTTCAGTGGGTGCTGCTGCCAGAGAACAGCAGGGATATTTTAACGCTGTCATTAGCATAGACTGTCATAACGTATATTAACGTATACAATAAACGATAGCCGGAGTGGGTACTGCATGCACAGGCAGCCCGCGGGGTCTGCAGGTCTGATCCAGGCTGGGCCCGTGCCACTCATCCAACCCATGGGTCAGGCCCACATCACTTGTACGCAACATCTAAACTTGGGTTCAGAAAGAAAAGCCTTGCCCATCATTCCCGTGGCGCCGCCTTTTCCCCAGGCCCACAGAAACAGTCTTGGGTTGAGCACATGTTCACAAGTCAGATGTCTGAGCAATACAGGCTCAGCTTGGTATTTTATTACACGCACACCTCTTCCTCTGGTTGTATGGAAAACACATGCATCCCCCTCACTGCTTTGACATCAAACAACTAAAGACCTACAGTGGATTAGATCTGCTTAACAAATGTTCCTTAGAGGTTTTGAAAACCCTAGTTAGACAAAGTCTTGGCTGGGATAATATAGTTGGGGACGGTCCTTCTTTGAATAGGGGGTGGGATTAGATTAATTGAAGTGTTATCTTCTTCAAGTACACAGTAATAATACAATCTTCCATTCACTGTATTGTGGCCATTTTTTTCAGTTCTGCTACCCAATCTGGCTCCTCCTCCTCTTCAAAGTCCCTAAAGGAAAAGAGGGGAAAAAAAAAACAAAAAAAACAAAAAAAAAAACAACCAATCAATTTTCAGAGCTAAAAGACGACAATCAAATGCTATTTTACTATATATTCTCTTCTACAATTATCCTACAGACCACTGCAAAATATATTTTTAAACAACCCAATTATAAAAGATATTTCCTTACACCTTTGAGATTAAGGAACTTTAACTGAGAAGTTTCACTAGGTAGAGAAAAAAAGACGAGGAGCATATCCGATTGACTACAAACCTATTTCACATCCTGTCACTCTATGAATTGGTCTGCAGACAAATTATAGCAATACCTACTTGCACAATATTCTCTATGCAAGAGAAAAACCATACACAATAAAAACTGAAGTGGAGTATATCGAGTCACTGACAAGAAAAACAAACTTCTGTCAAATGCAGTAGGTATCCATGTTCAGAGTTAGTTGATGCATGCTTGTGCCTATTTCAATCAGAATAAGGCTGTGGCCATATGCCAAAAATACAATGAACAGCTGAGCAACAAATATATGACAACTCTCTTTCAAAAAGCAGCTGTAAAAACAAAATCTTATTGCAAGTCAAATCAGACCCTCAGCAACAAATCCTTTACATCAGCAGGGATTTGCACATGGTAAGGATCCATCACTCTTGATTTGACTGGAAGATCAGGACATGAGATGGAAAGTCAGCACATAAACACATTTGCCAACAGCAAACAGTAACTCCTGTATAAACACGGTACTAGAGATTTTATGATTTAACAGAATTTAACTGAATTAGATTCAGGGACTTAAATGCTCTCAAACTAAAATAATTTCTTGGTCTTTTTGTGATAAAAGTTATTTTAGAACAATAAAGTTAAAGAATCAAACAAAACCACAAGAGTCGGATATATTTTTCAAGCTGTGTGTGAACATACGTGTCTTCTTCATCAGATCTAGGTTCAAGTCTTTCAGAATCTGTGATAATGGCCTCAAGGTCACCATCTATTTCATCAGATACTTTGGATTCATCAGAAAGTGGACCTTTCAGTAAGTCTCCTGAGGCTTTGAAGGCATATTAAATGTAAGAAAAAAAAATAGTTTAGTTTAAGGAATAAAGGCAAAAAACAGAAAACTAAAGAAGTGTTTCAAAGCCAAAATGAAGCACCTCTTTCCCAGTTTTCCTCTTACAACTCAAGTTTTAAATGATACTCCAAACAGTTAGCAGACTTTTATTACAAGTTATTACATATTTAATTAAATGAGAAGGCAAAGCTAGCAAACCCATTTGAAGGGGGAATGCAATATAGATCAGAATCTTGGATCAGTTTTCTGTGCAAATAATCTAAAGTTTGAGCTAAATAAAAAACAACTCTATTGAAATACATTCTTTTATCTCTTCTTCCTTCAGGAACCTGTGTTCAAGTAAGAGTGTTGTACACATACCCACACATCAAGCTGTTGGTGAAAGCTTTGAGTCTACATACTTGCAGCTTTGCGGCAAAATTTCTCATTTGTTTTTAATAATCTAAATGTTAATAATATTTTAAAAATAAGACTTCTGTGATGTTGAAAATAAACTACGTAAATGTCATTATGTTTTAAAACCTGGTAATAATACAGATCTGATTTTGCAAAAGTCAGGTTGCCCACAGACTAAGGACCTACCTGCTTTATAGATTGTGTATGTTTTAAATGCTAAGCTGATATCAGCATTCTCGAGAATGTTCATCAAGGTTTGAGGAGTTTCTTTGATCCACTGCTTACGTGGATTATTTTCACTGTATTTTATGACACAACCACCTAGTTAAAAAAAAAAAAATCACAATCAAATCATTAATAAACTGAAACACACTATTTACATTAAATACCATTATCCACATGAATTACAGAGATTCTAATAGAGAAATATGGAAAGTCAGGAGGTTTGAGAATGGAGACTGTGGATCTTCTTCCCAAGAAACTGTTCTTAAGCATACTGAATTCAGACTGATGATATAGATAATACAGAAGAGCGAGAGTACAAAAAGCATCAGGTTCTGGATGCTGACAGGGTGTCAGGAGAAGACATGACCTATCGTGGGGGCCCAGACTCACTGAATGGATATCCTGTGCCTCTGTGAATCTCAAGGGACAGAACCCCTGGCCAATTCTGCAAGAGAAAATTTTGCTCCTGTGTCAAAACAACAACTGTGAAAATGTCACAATTCAGAATATGTAGTTTCCTTTTCTCTACTCTGGCATATTATTTACCTGAAATTTTTTTAGTCTTTTCTGTCTGTTAAAATCTTGATTTCTTAATATAAATATTAATGATAGTTTTCATATTTACATATGTAACATTCCTCATCATGGCACGTGCAAGTTTAAATCAAAATATTCTTACAAAAAAGGGCCTGTTCTAAAACGTTCACTCAGCTGAAGTGTTTTTCCTGAAGGATGTTACTTTGAAGACAAAGCATGCATCTACATGTGTGCTTTACTGAGGAGCTAATTAAGTAGCACCACAGTAAAGCTTAATTGTCTACACGTATGCCTATATTAACATACGCCTATATTAGGGTACAGTAAATTAATTAATTCTATTGTAGGAATACTGTCCAGCACAAGTACAATCCTACAGCGGAGTAGTTGCATGCACTGAAACGCACATGCAGATGACCTGGCCTGGCTGAGGCAAGAAGCTGCTACAGTGTAGGGCTAGCCCCACACTGTAGCACCCTTGTGCCCCAGCCAGCCCTTCTGCAGCATGTTGAGCTGGGGACCTGACCCCCAGTCCCCTTTTTAGCTGTGGCTGCTCCACCCTGGCTCAGTGTGTTGTAGTCCCAGGTGCACCTGGCAGCAATAAAAACTCTGGCATGAACTGTACTAGAGTTTATTGCTATGTGTTAATTGCACATCTAGATGCACCCAAAGAGTCTGACATGTCCAGAGTTTACACCATTTAGGGCTTTGTCAATTACTCCTGCAAATTAACTGGTAAATTTGGAAGCTGAAGTACATATGCGATCCACACCCATTAGACTATACTACTCAAATGATGGACAATTATATTTTGCCCAAGCTGAATCTCATAAGTGCCTGTAAGGTTGGCCCAACGTAGAGTATATTAAAACTGATTAGCCTTGCATAACAGCGCCTTAACTGTGGTAGGAGTACAATCACCCAGTCAAGTGGAGACAGCGATCATTCCAGAACTGCTGTTGATATCAATGCTGCTTTTTTACTTCTGGCTCTCTCTAACCTAGCTGACACCTGCCTGAGATGTTTATCTCACACATTTTCAGTTTTTCATCACTTACTACATTTAATGCTTAGTGGCATGGTGGTTTTCATCATTGTTAGGTACCCTTTGCAAACTGTGGGCATTTTATAACGATGTGGTTTTGGTTTTTTTAAATAAGACCATGAAATAATGCACATAATAGTTGTGTGAAAACATACACAAATACACTGTAAATACATTTAACTGATCTTACTTTTCTCTTCCTCATCTGTAAAACTAGAAGAAAGCAAGGAGGCACTTCCTAAGACATTTACCACTGCACTGGGTGCACCTCTTTCCCATTGTCTTCTCTGGGGATATGGCAAATCAGTATTTCTTGTGAGGACTTCGTATTTTTCTGTGTAAACCGCCATGAAAAAGAAATAGGAGTATAAACTTGTTCATGTAAATGACTATAGTGAACAAAAAAGTACTTCATCAATACTGAGACTGAACACCACCAATAAATTTGGACCCAAGAAGGTCCAAGTGGATGTAACTCCAACGTGGTAGTAAAAACAAGCATTTGATACATCGAATATTGTCAACAGACTGCTTTTTGAAAGTTGTAGGTGAGGTTTTAGGCTCAACTAATCAGTAAAATGATCATATTTTTAAGAAGCTGAATGCAAATCCACTGATGCCTTTTTCTTCAGATACAAAGTATTGTGTACTTTGCATATATATGTTAATGATATGTACATGTCTATGTATAGATGTATATACAGCAGAACACAATAAAGAAGAGAACTCACAAGCCTTGGAATAGTGCATACATTACCCTCTTTACTGGAGCCCCTTTCCTTCAGTGTTCTTCCACTCAAAATCTTTGCAGTGTCCTTCAGATCTGAGTG